TTCCTTATATATCCCAATAATATCGTATCATGATGACCTAAGTATTGTGATAATATAGTATCATGGGTCCTCTGACAATTCCCACCCCTACTAAACAGGCTCTCCATGTCAGTGTCCCCACCGGTCTGAAATATCCTTGTTGTGGACAGACAGAGCTGGCAATTTATTACCTACCGGCACCACAATGGTCTACTACTTTGAAGCTGACTTTTGCCAAATAGCGGCCACAACCGAAAGGCTGCACATGCTATTGTCGCACTCCAACCCTATTAGGATATACCCCACTACGCAGGGGTAGAGCATTCGACTTAAGATCAAAAGGTGTCTGGATCAAGTCCGGGTGCCACCTAAGTCAGAACTGTATCACTTCACTGCAGATACAGTCAGTGGTTGTCCTCCTACCTTCTTGCAGGTGAGGCTCTCTTGGGTAATCTTGTCGGACTCGTCATTTAGAAGGTCCCTCTCAGACATAAGATCCCTCTGTTTGTCTTGCAGGACATCGTTCTCCTTCGTCAGGGTCAAGATTTCATCCAGCAAGAATGGGAGCTGTTGCAGTCGCTCACTGTGAACAGCTCTCTCCTTGTGAAGAACCTCTGAGGCATTCCTCTCAATGCATGCGTCCACTCTGATTTGTTCCTTTTCAATCACACTGTTGTTGGAGGACAGTGTAAACATTTACTGATGAACATTTTGAAGCAAGAATCAAACAAAAGATCAGCATGAAAAATTTCCCTGCAGATGTAATGCTTAACTGTCAGTTTAACTCTGTCCTAGACTTTACTTTGTCATGTGCGACTCTGCTTCTTTCATCACTCTGTCGATGGCAGCTTCATGCTCTTCCCTCTGACTGACCAGCTTTTTCTTCAGAGGCTCTATGTTGGACACCATCTTCGTCAGCAGCTTCTTCTTCTTCTGAAGCTCTGCAAATTTTGCAGCTGAGGGGAAGAAAGGAGTGTAAACTAGGTGGAGTCCCTAAAAACTGTTGTATGCCTGATGCATGTTCTCGTTGGCTCGTGTTGGGTTGGCTGATCACTTTTCAATAAGCTAGCAAAACTGCAACCTAAAAAGTTGTTTATTAATGGAATCATTGCCTTAATCCCAAGATCAACCATACAGGAGACCAAACTGTGTTTGGTGTCAAAATACCTATTTGAAAAATAATAAAGTGATTATTCAATAATGAAAATAATAGGAAACTGCAGCAACCCCAAGAGGGTGGAAGATGAAACAACTGAAGCTGCTGTGTGACAAACATTTTTACTGTCTCACCCTGCATCCTAATCCCTGAGTTCTGCTCATCAATCTGGTCCTGCAGCTCCTTCATCTGCCGGCTGTGCTGCAGCTTCACGGAGTCTCTGTCCTGTTCAGCAGCCTGCTGCTGACTCTTTATCTGCTCTGTCAGCTCATCCACCGTCCCCTCTTTTGCAGCCACTGAGCGTTTCAGGTACTCAGTGGTGTCTGCCTTGTCCTTCTGCAGCATACTGTACTGAGAGGCAAGGTCCTTGTTCTTTTTCTCAAACTCGTCAGATTCAAGCTGACATCTGCAGGATTAAGATGCGTTATTATATTTAAGACTACACTGAGATTGTTGTTGTTTGGATTAAAATGATAACTTACATAACTGAGAGCATCAGAGTTCTTATCATGTTGAAATTGTTACTCAGGCTTGTCCTAACAGTACATCAATAGTGAGTTGAAATATAGTGATAACTCTAGGAACCAGCAGCCAGAGAGGGCCCGTAAAAAAATCCACAAAATGCTTTATTTTGTAACACAACATCAGCGAAATTTAAATGAGGAACCAATAAATATAAAGACTTTAGGGCTGATAAACCATGCACCATACATTTTTTTGTAAACCGAGGTCAGTTAAATGAATATCAACATTGTAGCACTGCTCTTAAATACATGAAAAAACAACAAACGTAAAAGTACGAGACCATGTTTTGCTAAGGTAAATGCTGAAATAGTGAATGTTCAAGAATTTCAGTCATTTTAAAGCAAATATTTGCAAGTTCTTGCTTCTAAATTGAGAGTATTTGCTGCTTTTCTTTGTCATGACTGATGGTAAATTGAATATCTTTGGATAAAACACACAATATCAATATGAATATAAATATTTCCCCTCAGATTCTAGGGAATTATGATTGGCATTTTTCAACATTTGACAGACATAACAATTTATCAAAGACATCTGCAAATGACCAACTCTTAACATGCAGTTTTGGGGGTAACACATTACAAAAGTAAAGTGTTACAGTAATATATTAAGTTTTAGCTGAAACAAAGTAATATATGTGTTACCAACAGGATTACGGATTATATCATTACATTTACAGTGTCACATAATGTGTTATCATCTGAAGTAAACAGTTTATTGCTTTCATTTTCCATTCATCTACACTGATCAAAACCGCTCCACTTCTGCCAGTGTGCCAACTGAAAAAATATCCCCTGAAAGTTGTTTTCTGTTGTCATGTCATTATACACTACAGAAGTGTGCCGGTGATCAGCACATCTGGGTCATGCCATACTATTATTATGTTCAGTGTGTTTCCATTAACACACCTACAACTATTACAGCGCATTATGCTCTGCTTCTGCGTCCTAAGGCTGCCTGAGAGCAGGGTAATAAGGAGTTGGCCTCCGATTCGTTTTTAACTCGTCCTGGTGATCAGCACATCTGGGTGATGTTAGTATATGTTGGATGTGTTTTCATTCATATCCCCTACAGCTGCAGAGCAACACTGGCAAACTGTCCCATTGTTATGTAGGCTATATCTCTCTCTCCAGTGCTGCTGTAGCTGACCAGCACACCAGGAACTGGCAGGTGGGTCTTTCACCACTGGTGTTTCAATTTGCACTTGTCATAGTTATTTAATTGCATCCCATTCTGTTTGTTGTGCTAAGCTCAACATTTGTTTATTGTGTTTCATATCATAAGCCCACAAATATTTATCTATATATACTATACTATACTATATACTTTGATTCTCTGCCTGACCCACCTCTTGTCAAAGGCTATTCATTTATTTTAAAAGGGGTAGCATATTTAATGGTTCTATAACCATTAAGAACCATTGGGGATTTTAATACAAAGTGGTAACCACTGTGTGTGAATGCATGCATGAATGGGTCAGACCTGCGCAGCACTGGATTTGAAATCAACTGTAAAAAACTGAAGCTTCTGTGCTTTGATTACCTGCTGTGAAACAACATGACTCTCATCCATTTAAAATCAACATTAGTTCTTCTGAGCTCATTTTGATCAAACTAATGCGAAAGTAGTGTAATAAGTGACTTACTAGTCTACACAGAATAATACTGTTAAGTAACTTATTACTTTCAACTAGTGATATGTAATTTATTGCATTTTCAGAGTAATTTGCCCATCACTGTTTACACTTCACTTTTTATTAATTCTGGGTACTAATATAGCTTGCTATATTATATTTATTATATAGTATTTTTAATGTATCGATTATAAGAACGTATTTTATTATATTTACTTTCACACTTTAATTCAGATGTATTATTAACAGTTAGTTATGATCTAAGACTTCAATAATAATAACTCTCAATAATAACTTACCCGAGGTCATAGCTTTGTTCCAGTCAGCTAAGCACGTTTAACTAAATATGTTCTCATGAAATATTGTAACAACATGGCGGTAGTGAAACTGATGTCTAAATTCGTCAATCTCAGTAAGTTAACATATTATGTGTCACAAACTGGTGCTAATGCTAACGTAGCTAGCAACGTTGATGGACTAAGGTTACAGCTTTGTTTAATTAATTATAGGTTATATATTCTAAGTTTAAAAGATAAAACTATTACATATATCTACATTAACACATCACTTTTGTTTAAATAAACTACTGGGGACTTAATTCCCCCCAGAAGAGAAGCAGGTCTGTAGTTAACATTAACGTTAGCTAACCTTAGCTAAAGGTTACCGTTAAATCAGTCTTACCTCTCCAGCTGCTCCTCCAGATATTTGATTTGTGTCAAATACATCGACTTTTCTTTGTCCCCAGATATGATTATGTCTGCCATAGTTGTGCCGTCTTTTTCCTGCAAATTCCTCTTGCTTTATATTGTTTCTCACCGCTTTTTAATCCTCCTTTCAGAGTAATTTCCAAAGAAACTACAAAGAAAGCAATAGAATATGGGAAACTACGTTTCCAGTTACTGCTGCCTTCAGGGACTACTGGGAAAGTTCAAGTCTTTTCAAAGAATAAACTTAGTCTATTGTCATGTTTTTAAACATTTAAATTTTAATATAATATAATATATCAGAAACAGTTCAGTTGTTGCTCCGGCATGCTGAGACTGCTTGTTATTTTCTATGCTTGTACATAAATAAATAAATAAACCAACCACGATTCTCCTTTTGTGTGTACTATTTTAAATGTATTTTTCTTTCTTTCCTTATGGCACTTTGTAATTTCTGGTTTCACGTAACACAGGCTCTATAAATGAAGTTTATCACAATTATTTATTCCATATTGTATTATTTATTAATTTATCTTTTTAATTGTATTCATTTATTTATTGAACACATGTAGGCTTTATACCTCTGTGCCATTGTCTTGCTCATAAGGCACCACTCTTACACCAGCCCAGTGGCATGATGTTCTGATGGTTTATACCTAATACCTACTGTCATATGATATTTAAGTTGTTCTGATTAGCTCTAGGTACTGTATCATACTGTAAACTGGGGCCTGTATATAGCCCTTGTGCAAATTTTCTTTTTCCTTTTTTGCCTCCTGTCATTGCTAAACATAAGGCTAGTTTGAGATGAACTGTGCCTTTCTGTGAAAGTGGACGAGATGTATGAAATTATATTTGTGCGTAAAGTTGCTGCAGGGTTGCAGAATAATCTTGTCGTCCCTGGGGATTCTCAACAGTGTCTCATCTAACTAGGTGTAGAAGGTCTCTTTTACTTCCTCTTCATTTGGCAGTACATCCAACCGGCCTCACAACTGCAGACTACATGTACCCACGCCAGCTCAGGACCTCCACATCTAGCGTCTTCACCTGTAAGTTTGTCTGTGACCAGCCACCTGGACAGCTGATGGATTGGATTGCAAACCCAATCCCTCTCTGGTGGACATTCCTGCGTTCAGCATGCCAGTGGCACACTCCCTCAAAACTAGAGACATCTGTGGCACTGTGTTGTGTGATCAAACTGCACATCTTAGAGTGGCCTTTTATTGTGACCATCCCAAGGCTTTTAACTTATTTGTGACCAAAATTTGAGAGAAATGTATCTATTGAGTGCACAAATGTTTTCATACTTCCATGCATCTCAAAGGATGGAGGACTCTGGTACTTAAACCTGTAATGGGCGATTTATGTTGATACTTTTACTTGATCAAAACACCTCACTTGCACGACAAGATGTTTTTACTGTAATGCGTGTTTTAGGGCCCCCTGGTGGTTGTAAGTCATTTAAACAGCCTTGCACTGGCTGTGCATGGACCACAGCACTTATCGCTCTGCAAATTAAACCCCACCTGTTGGTCTTATTTGATTTGTGATTGCTCTTTTGTATTTGCGCTTTCCTGCGTGTTTTCCTTTGTAAATGAAATCTCATAAACAGTCTGAGGCTTGACTTTGTGAAACTTTTCTTGACTGTGCTGTGTCTCTCTGTGTGGGAGGTTAGAGGTTTCTGACAGCTCAGTTGTGTCTACGTTCACTTCAATAGTGACTCAAGATATGGAACAGGATGTGTGTGTGTGTGTGTGTGTGTGTGTGTGTGTTCATGAGCCAAAAATGTGTGCACAATAAGCAAGAAAAGGTGATGTGTGCATGCACGCATGCATAGGTGGAAGAGAAAGTGGGTTATATGCAACTGTGCATCTATGAGAAAGAAAACTGTGTGTGTGTGTGTGTGTGTGTGAGTGTGTGTGTGTTCACTCTGCATTTTCTGATTTCTGCTGCCACGAACCAACACCTTCCTCTTTTAGTCTCTACTCTTCAGCCAGCAGCGGATGATTACAGATTTATATCAATTGTTTTATTGAGAGAGGATTGATCTTTTTTTAAGTCTTGACAAATGGATTGTTAACTACATCATGTCTCTCCATTATTTGTTGCTTTCCTAGTGATGATATGGTGTAAAACACTTAGCCTGACCGCTTTTCAGTCAGGATAGTTCACTTGTTGGAAGTGGGACACTGGAGGAGCAGTAGATGATTAGAGCTCGAGTTTTTGTAAATTTTTTTACTGACACCATTGTGTTATTGAAGTCTCTGGTATGGACTACATCTCTCAGAACATACGAGGTAAGATGAGCCAACTTCACAGCAACATCAGTGCTCTCATCTTAACTGAACAGATCAGTAAAGCACCTGACCTTCAGTGCTGATAACCAATGGATTTTAATGGACCACACCAGTGTTTTTGCTTGTTTATCTTCGTATGCAACACATCACACACACTCAGTTCTCTGTCTATTTGGGTTTGCCATGATGCAGATTTATCCCTGTAAAATTATTCCTAAGCAACAGTTATAATGTTCAGTTTTTGTTCTGACTGACTGTTTCCGGTAGGTGTTAATCCAACTTTATGCTCATTTATGTATTCTGTTATATTTAATATTCCAGCATCAGTGAGGACAGGGGGCTTCAACATCTTTTCAGGCAAAAGGGCTTAGCTAAAGAGAGATAGAGCAGGGACTCCCTACTATGTATATTGTATAAAATTGAGTTGCATAATAACAGGGCCTACAATAATGTGTACGGTAACCTAAAGTGCCATGTATAAACATACCCTTTTTGGGGGGAAATTACATTACTAAGCTATTAAAATAATAATTTGTGGTTTCATATATTTATGCATCATGTTGTTTCATTGGTGGATGGTGCGTTGCAGCAGCTTGCTCGAAAAGTTACAAAAACATCCAATGTGGTTCACAGGAATGTTGGTACACTTGGAATAGTAATACAGCTGCCTGGCCAGTATGTTTCAATAGTACATAACTGTTAGCTAACTTAAGCAGTTTGCCTCACTGTTAAGGATAAGCACCACACAGTGATTTAGCATTAGCTAGCTAACAAGATTGCACAAGGATTCATGGGTAACAGTTAGCCTATCATTATGTTGTGAACATATAGGCCAGTTTATCTTTGTAAATGTCATGATGGGAAAAAAACAAACTCAAATCAAATGTCATCTAACAATAATTTGGGGCCCCCCTTAAGTAATTTTAGGGCTATGCTTAATATAAGCGTAGTGTTTGATTTGTAGTTTATGGTTATAGTTTATAAATACAATAGGTGTTTTTTGTGTTTTTTGAAACACAACAGTTAGACTGTGATGGGGTAACTGTTCACCGGTTGCAGAATAAATGTGTAAATAATTCATACTATATCATATGTGTAGTGTCAGAGAAAGACCACACACTAAAGTTTGCAGCTACAAAGGTCAAATGTGAGTGAGTCAGTTGCACTGAAGTCATTTTACACCTGAAGGCTCGCCTCTCTGCCCACACCTAACAGCTGTGTTTCCATTGTAACTGTCAGTGAGACCAACTGACAAAAAGAAGGAAACATGAATCAATCTGTGGTTTGTTAACAATGTTATGAACAGAGCAAAGGGAGGGGAACCAGCTCAGAGACGGCACCATTCTTTTTTTGTCTCAATGAGTTTATAGACAGCAGGAGCAAAGTGTTTGACCTTCGGTGTCAGCTGCACATAGTATGAACCAGACATAGGTATGAATTGTAATTTATTCCTATTTGTGCTAGGCAAACACAGAAACCTACACTATGAAAAAATTAACTGTTTTAAAGTAATTTAGTCCTTCATTATACTATCTTTGAATGAGCACAAATTTAATAATAAACATTCTTGAAACAACCTTTAACATATCCTTCTTTCACATTAAAAACATCTTTAAAAAAAATATGCAAAAAGTCTTTTTACTATGTATGATACATTGTAATTCCATCTCTAAAATCTATTTTATAATGCTGTGAAAACATCAACACATCTCTCCTTCAACAAGCTGGGTTGGAATTTCCTCACCAAAAGCAACATTTTACAAGATTAGAACACATCATGAACATGAATTTACCTTCGCCCAATACATTTTTTTACTGAGTAGAGCTTGAACGCTTCACAATGTTAATTGATGCAACCTCCGTGGAAACTATAACCAGCTCTTCTCCTTCTGATTTCATGTTCTTTCTCTCCACATCCACTCCTCTCAGTAGTGTAGTAGTAGTTGAGTGGGTACCAGAGAGTTTTTGTCGTTTTGACATGTTAACGATACACCGTGTTTCAGGGTTCACGTGACGTCGCTCATCTCCTACAGAGCAGGTAAAGTGTAAGGAGGTGGGAGGGGAGCTGGGAGGGGGGCCGGTGGGCGGCAGGAACCCAGAAACAAAGGCCTCTCTATTATTTAGTAGGCTTTACTATGTAGTTATGTTGTTGTGACCTTGTACAATATTTCAGAATCATAGTAGTAATAGTAAAAAAAATAGTAAAAGGTAAACTTTTTTGATTATTTTCTCCAGTATTTTGGGCGCCCCCTATGGATGACGATGCCCCTAGCATTTGCCTACACTGCCTTTGCTACGGGCCAGCACTGTGTTGAAGGGACAGGAGAGGCTACAGCTGTGATATCTCCATGAATCCAGCTCTCTCTGGGCACCGCAGTCACTTCATTTTTTTGCTATAGAGCGCAATTTTGGATTTTATTTCTATATTTGCGCCAAATAGCCTACAGAATTAAATCCTGAGTGTTTTATCTTTCCAAGTTATAGATTAATATGACAAAAAGTTATTATTTTTAATAACTATTACTATATCCTGACAGTAGTCCATGAGGCAGATAATCTGTGGGGGAGAAAAAAACATGGTCGCCTCCTCATAGTGTCCCTAATGGCATTTGCAAGAATCATGAAAACAACCAATTGGTGCCAAGAAGTCTCTAACATGGCTTTCAGTCATGTCAGTAACTGCTCTTAAACTGCTCTTAAACTGTGTTTAAACTGTCAAACTAGACAGCACTCTTCAAATATGAATCAAGACTTTGTTACTGCATTGCCTATTTCTTAAATGTCCTCAGGAACATATTTTTACAGCGTGTTTGGGGGTTCATGTGATGTCGGATAACTCACTTATCTCCCACAGAGAGCAGGTAAAGTGTAAGGAGCTGGGGAGGGGGGCGGCAGGAACACGGAAAAAGGCCTCTCTATTACTTTGTAGGCTATGTTATATAGTTAGGTTGTTGAGGCCTATGTAATATTTCAAAATAATAATAGTAAAAGTATAAATAAAAAATAGTACAAGATTAAAAAAAAAAAGTTCTCTCCCCATTTGTGGCGCCACCAGCCGATGCCTTTAGCATTTGCCTATACTGCCTATTCCACGAGCCGGCACTGCTCTGTATTATGTCATATTCCTTAACATTGCTGTCAAATATGTGGAGGCAGTTTGGTTTCCATCATGCAATAGTCCTTAAAAACTGACATTTCTCACCCTAACAGTGAATGTCAGCCATCATGTCTGACCTATGAAAGAAGACTCACAACTCTTCATTCATCAATAGCACTAATCCTCCAATAGTGCCCCAGTTATCCAGCAGCTCTCCAGTGTACCGAGTGTCATGTTCCCTCTCTGACCCCGCTGCCAGTAACTTCAGTGTCATGGAAATATAATCATGCTAACCTTAAAATTAATTCTTTCATTTCATTGCTGAATGATGTGTTGTGTCTAAGTTGATGCAGCAAGTCACGCTTCATTGTCAAGTCCTGTTGAGTATGTGCAGAGGACAGAAAAGGATGAAGGTTCAGCAGCAGTCACAATGAAAGATAGTTGAGTTGAGTAAGTCTCTCCCCGTAACAGTGGTCCTGTTTGTGTCTGTGAGCAGATCAGATCTCAGAGCTGCTGAAGCCTCACAGAGTCTGTCTGGTGACGCCTGTCGTTCTGAACCACTCCAGTCAGCCATGTGGGAGGTCGGCCAACAGGTTTGTGGTGAGTGATGGACAATTCTCCTTCTATAACAATAAACTCTTTCTATCTAAGGTTCAGTTTATACGACAACGATTTCAACTGAAAACGGTAAACTTTACACGACAGCGGTGTTTTGGGTGCCTGAAAATGCAACGTTTTGAAAACGGGTTCCAGACTGCCATTTTTTGGAAATGGCAGCGTTTCCGTTGTCATGTAAACTTGCAATATGCAGTTCCTCTGAAAACGGAGACTTTTCGCACATGCGCATTATGGTTCCAGTCACTAGGCATCAACAGCTGTCACAACAACAATGCCGAGCTCTGTTTGTGCTGCTCACCCTGTTGATTTGAAGTGAAGTGCAGATCTGTTACTGTAGCAACTCCACCTTGTCGTCCATCCAGACAAAGTTATCTGTGCATGCTTTCGCCATTGTGTCTTCTTTGTTTTGGTTTGTAATCACTGCGTTGTAGAGGAAGGCGCTTTAGGGCAGGCGCATGGCGTCATGCCATGGTGTTGCTTTGCAGATTTACACTGCCACCCATTGGCCTGGCATGCATACTACAGCATTTCCAGTTGATTTTGCGGCTCCGTGTGAATGGGTATCATTTCAATAACATTGTCATATAAACGCAGAAGTTTTTTAAAATGCAAAGGACAGACTTTTCCGTTTTTAGAGAAACCGTTGTCGTCTAAACAGGGTCTAGTTTTAGGTTTCTTATGCTTCCAGTATATAGAAACCAGAGTTTAATTGCAAAATAGATATATCTCAGCATCAAATGACGATTTAGGGGGATATATGGGATATGGGGATTGATGGGATATTAGCATAAATGAAATATAATAACTATTTCTTCTCTAGTGTAGAATCATCAGAAAATAAGAATCATTGTGTTTTTCTTACCTTAGAATGAGCTGTTTATATCTACCGTAAAACTTCAATTAATAGCCCAGGCTATTATTTGCCTAAATCATTGAACTCAATGGGCCTATATTTTGGACAGGCATCTATATGGGACAGGCCTTTAATTCCTTTCACACAGTTCACACTGTTGCTCAGCAAAGATTGGGAAATACAATCGAGTTATTTATTTAAACCAGTATGAATATTACTTGTATAAAAGATTAGTCATTACAAAGGGGTTACATCTTAATATATTTTTGGTAAAAAGCTTTTATGTAGAATATAACATTATTTTGAGGTTTTATGGTGGTAGAAGAAGCATGCTAAAATGTGTCCTGACCTGGCAGTGATTGTAGGGAATGTTTCTGCCATCTCGGCATCGAGTGCAGCCAGTGAAAGACATTTCCTCTGCTGCATTTGTAATTCAAGAACGGAGAAGCCAGCGTAATGTGAGTGACTGTGGACTGTGTGTGTTTAATCACGGGTGCGGGTCGGCTTGTGGGACTTTTATTGATGGGTGCAGGCGGGTGAGGCTTTGGGCTCTAGTTTTCCGGCGCAGCGCAGGTGGCACAGGGTGGCGAACCCCGCGCAGAGCTAGTTTCGAGCAGCGCAACCTGAGGCGCGCTCAGTTTGGTAGTTTGGCAGACCGAGGTGCGCTGAGATGGGTGTGGCGGCGCAGCAGGGGGAGGTGTCGACAGATCCAGCTTGGCGCAGTGACAGTTTCGTGCGAAAAGGCTTCGCCAGCTGAAACCAGGTCTACTGTCAGCGCAGGGGGAGCGCAGCCGGTGTAAGCCGAAGTTTGGCTGACTGGCGGACAGTGCGCACACGTCACCAAAACCTCACAGGCAGGTTTCCAGAATATCAGGCACATTAACAATGCAATAAATAGCCACAAAACCACTATTCAATGCAACTATCTGCAATCAGCACATAAATGTATCTCTATATCGACTGTCCCGTCACATCTGATGTCAGATCAAAGGGGATTGGCACCGTTTGGCACGTTTGGCACGCGTAATGGAAACCCAACCTGATCTGATTAACACAGCTGCAAACTAACGAGTTCACATCCCTCTCAGCCAACCACAAACAGCCACAGCATCAGATAGGGAGTATATATTCAGCATCTGTCATCTTAGAAAAGTCAAAAGAAAAGAAACAGAGTGAGACTGCGAGAGAGAAAGAGAGAGCGCACGCACGCACGAGAGAAACGCAACATTGATTTACAATTGATAGTCTCAGTGACGTACATACAATCAGGCTACCTTTGCATCATCAGCCCGTGAAGGTCTGCTCGCAGTTCCGTATATTCGGACACTGCGAGCTTGGACCTCCTGGACCAAAACATCAGTTTCCTCCTGGGAGGAGTTTGGCCGTCTGACGCTGCTGCTCTCTTCTGCCATGGCGAATTGAGTAAACTCTCATTACGCCTTCACGCGGCGCATTTAAGGGCGAGGAGAGGGGCTCATTTGATTGGTGTGATGTGTGTAAAACCCACTCCACGCCTTCTCTCCTCCCTCTTTCCGACTTGCGCCGGTAGGAGGGACGGAGGTGGGAAAGAGGAGTAGCTGCGCCAGGCGCACGGTGTGCCAAACTTACAAAATCCGCCTGGCCACACCCAGTTGGCGAAGCGCAGGTGCGCTGCGCCCCCGCCGTGCCCGGTCTGCGAAACTAGAGCCCTTTGACTTAGACATAATGATGGGTAATGGGTCAGGTCTGGTATTGAGCTTCATGGGTACAGGTTGGTGCGGGTTTTTAAAACTGGACCTGTGCAGGAGTCAACCCACACTCTGCCACCCACTGGCCAGCTGTTGCAAGTGCAACATAAATTGGTAACATCAGGTAACAAGTAAAGAGTAGATTAATACAACAGTTTAAATTTCCAAGCATTGATTTTATGTTGGTATATAGGTGGGAGGAGTAGAGGAGTCAGAAAGGTTCAACATTTTTACAGTGCATTGATCAGTATTAGAATGTGTTACCAAAAATGTTTGCACCAAAAGAATTTAATTTGTACATTTGGACTGTTGTTCAGATGTGCAAATGCTGCTCCTGTGGGGGGAGCTCGGAGCCTGGCAGTCCTATATCTAACCTCTTGTCTGTTTTATACCTCTGTCTTAGGTGCTGAGTCTATGGAGAGGTTACCTGGTTATAAACAAGCAACCTGTCAGGGTAAATCACAACTGTTCTAAAACACATCTAACCAAAACAACTACACCAATTTGCACATTTTATGAAAAGTTTGAAATGTCTGGGTTTGATTTTTCTCACTGGTTTTGATCTGTTAAACTGTTAAATTTCCCATGTGACCTCCCATGTGTCACAAAATGAGAGATTGCAAGACTGGGGTTGCCGAGGTGTTGCAAAAAGGTAGCAAAGTTACGCTACATGTATTTCTTTTCACTTTCAGGACTTCTCTCTAATTTGTACATTTATGTGAAATTGTTTGACATCTCTGAGCCTTAAAAACTTTTAGAAATCCGACTAGCCAGTAGGTCTAAATCTAAATCCAGTGAAATATTAAACACATTATTACATCCATAGATATCCATGAACTGCTGTTGCATCGTTTCAAACGTTCATATCATTCTACATATTATCCATAATTTCCCCTGTTCTGCATATAAACAAACAGACTGGCGTATCTCAAAATGGAAGCAAACTACTGGCCTTTACATTGACACCTCATTTCAGCCAATACAGCTTTCAGTGCTGTTTGTAAGCCTCCATAGCCAACCAGGGCTTGAGCTGAAGGAATGTACGTCACTGAGACTATCTGTAGTTTCAAGCTAGTTAAAGTGCCAGCAATTTGCCAAATGTTCCCGAAGGCTTATGGGTCTTGTAGTCAATGACACTCCAAAGCTCCACAGCACATTTGAACTGCTTACAGTCACCACAGACTCTTATAAATGTACATTAGTGATAAACACATGTCTCCTCTGTTTTCTTAAAAGAAAAAAAAAAGTCTTTCATATCAGTATACAGCAGGTTTTCTAGAAGTGTTTACTATACATTAAGCTCCTAAATAGACACTTCTGCATGTGTTGATTAGTTTTTCACTCATAATCACACATTTAGTACATAGTACATTGGAATTGACCAATGTACCATACTACTATTGCTGCAGCAAAAGAAATAGGCCCTGTCCATGGGGTACCCGCTTCAGCAGGTGAGCTAAGTGGGTGTCCCAGAATAAATAAAATCCTTGAAAGTTTTGGAAAAATCATGGAATTTATTGTGTCGGATGAAACTGTTACAGTAATATTATGCGTGGATAACCTTCCATGTAATGCAAGATAATGCTGGATTTATTTTCTGTAGCTGTTGATGTAACGTAGCTCTAATATGCATCAGTGCATTACATTTTGTTTACCATCACATGCAGTTTGCAAATTTGCAGATCCTAGGATAGCAAGAGAATGACCCTTCCTATGCTCTCTATGATTGTCCAGTACTCATTGCATTTGTTGTTTGGAAGGCAAGAGAATGGGACTGGTTAGGGTTCGGGTATGAATGTCAAGGTAAGACAATCAGAGGCAGAGTGAAGCAGGCCATTTCTTCGCTACCCTAAGATTCCCAAATTCATGCACGCTTCTTCTTTTCTTCCCATGTTCTGTCTCTCCCTCAATGTATGCCAGCTAGCTGGAATTATGTTAGAATAGGACTTGAATCTGATATTTCTGAATAATGCTGAGCAAGTGGGGCAAGAAAAATAATGTTGTGACAGTGTGATTTAACATGCAGGGTCATGACTTCCAAAAGATTCCATGCCTTTTACCCACTACTGTTTTTAAATTGTACTGCATTTTTAAAGTGCCAGTGCGTAGAGCAGAGTAGTTTGAGAGTATGCAGCATTCTCTTTTTCGTGTTAACCCGTGGGCCAGTCGGCTGTCACTCCCCTACTGTTCGTGGACTGCCTATAATATTATAATTAACATTTGGAGTCAAGTATACTATAAAGTTAAACGTTGTGAATGGTCATTGGAATTTTATTATAGGCCCCTAAAAAGTCAAGGAAAAGTTTTGAAATTTTGTTCAAAGAAATGTGTGGGACCCCTGTGTACACATGCTCACTGTTTCTGAACAGAGAAGCTGCTGCTGACTATTCAAATGATTTTTTTCCATGCTTAGAGCAGTCCAAATTTAATACCATCCACTTTCATTGTATGGGGATGGAGGCAGAAATCTTGAAATCCAAGCACATCGAACCAAAATGGAGTGATAGATCTTGGCAAGCTTTTAACCACCATAGTCACTAAAACTGTCTTTTTTAAAAAATAAAAGGCCTAAAAGAAATTTGATTTACCCCCCTTCCTCTCATTTGTTCTTTGTGTGTGTGTGTGTGTGTGTGTGTACAGGTGGAGAGCACTTTCAGCTACTTGGAGATCTGCTCCATCAACATTCACAGTCTCACACAGGTACTTTTTTTTTTTTTTATCAAAACCATATTTCTTTATAATATTTAATACAGTTTTTCTTTTACTTGATTGTATGTCTTAATCAAATTATATTCCATTTGTTCACCCTGTCTCTTTATTCAGTAAAGCACAGGAAGCCATTCAAAACAGAAAAGAGTTATTTGGAAAACAATATGCAGTAATTATTGTGACATATTGTTAGAGTAGATATTTCAGTGTCTCTAGATGTAAAGCTAAACAATAAGCTTTGGTTTGTGTTTTAACTGAGAGTAAGCATCATACATGTTTGATATCGTGTGTTTTACAGATTGTGTTGGAGACAGACAGACACACTCTGTCTTTCAGTGTATTGCATGTTGAGGATCTTGAGGCCATGATCAGTCACATGACCGCCTCACTGAAGAGGGTCTTTCCTGATTCATCTCCAGGGTGAGGCTCACTCCACCACCTGCTACATGTCTCAATGCACACAATGAGCAGATAGGCTACTAGCTCATATTCTATGTGCACAATTTCAAATTCAGTCTTTATATACTGTATTCCTCTTTTGGGTCATTGTTCTACCACAAGCCTCCAGAACTGCTCCAGTGCTCTTTGTCATGGATTCTCCAACTGTGAGGGACTGGGATGAACAGCATTCCTCCAGAACATATTCCCTCATTTGATGATGGTGGAGTGGAGAGCTGTCTAACACGTCACTCCAACATGTAACATAGGTGTTCAGCTGGGTTGAGATCTGGAAACTGTGAAGGCCATAGCATGATTCACATCATTTTTTTCAAACCATTTAGGGAGACCTGTATGGAAGCTTCTGCATTCAGTCTACACTCACTCATTTCTTCTGTGAGCTGTCACCTCTCTGAGTATCAAAATATGAAGATTGCCATGGAATTCATCAGGCATATTCATGCTCACATCAACATAAAACCATTTGATTTTGATGACCTCATGAACTTTCCTTTAGCACCACCCCCAAGGCAAATGTCACAGTGTATGTCATGGCTTTATGGTCAGTGTCTAAATGTTTCCAAAAGATAAATCCAAATGGCATGTGATCCTCTGACTTTTTTAATGCCTTTGTGCTGGTGACAGCCGTGGCCAGGAATATTATGTTTCCGGGTTGTCCATCCATCCCATTCTCATGAGCGCAATATCTCATGAAAGCCTTGAAGGGAATAAACTCGAATTTGTCACAAATGTTGACTTGGACTCATTGATATAGGATAAAATGTTGAAGTGATGGCATTTCATAACCAAAAAGTCAAAGGTCAACTTCACTGTGACATTATAATGTTCTGCAAAAAAACACTTTTCTGGCTTTTCTTCGTAGCTTTTGGAGACTTCGGGTGCACAGCTAACATGTTGGCAGTATAGAAAGCGAGCTCCCCGACCATGAGTTATCTATCTGCACTTTATTTGTTATAACAATTGTAAATGAGACAAAAAAGTATCTGATGGAAAGCAAGTCCTTAAGAAAAAAAAAAAAAAAAAAAAAGAATTTGTAGCTTCTTTGCAGCAACATCTGTATTTGAAGCATTATCTCCTGTCATGGTTACATATCAGCCTGGACAGACATGGATGTCAGCTGCAACTTGACTGGTTAGAGGAGGCATACAAATGCAAGATAGTAATTCTAATTTTTATGTTTGTGGTTTTAATAAAATACTAAAATACATCAGCTATTGGATGGATTATAATGAAATTTGGTCAGAAATTCAGGATGAATTGTAATTACTTTGACCCCCTGCTTTTTCATCTAGGGGAAACATCACATCAAAGGTTCAGTTTGTCAAATATTTTGTTTCAGGATGATGATAATTTATTTATTTATTAATTTATAACATGTATACATATATGAAGGAATGAAATTAGGTACTCAGGTCCTGGTGCAGGTAAATAGCAAATAATAAAACCAAGAAGACAAAGCACACAATAAAATACACAAAAAGTATATATATACATATATGGCATCACGTACCATTGGGCACTGTTTGGCCACTATGGAAAATGGCTTCAATCAGCATGTCAGCACTGTCACTGTATGAATGTGTAACATGCTGATGTTAGCATTTAACTAAAAGCACCACTGTGTTAGAATGGCTCTTTGTCTTGTTATATACTGTATGTCAGTCTTTAACAGTGTATTTCTTTTCCTCCAATCTTCAGAAAGCTGTTAAAGATGATTCCTCCAGATCTCCAGCAGAGACTCCTCACACTTACTGGTGTGATAGAAGAGCAGCTGGATAGTCAACCTGGCTCCTGTGGTATGAACCCTTCATTTTACACTATATGATCCCTTGTCATACTCTAATAAAGCTGATAGTGACACTGTCAGCTTCTTAACAGATTATCTGATCAGCCACCATCACCTGTTATTAACACATGGTGATTTGAAGATTAGATAGTAGAAGTATTCGATTGTGTTTGAATGTTTGTTCTGCAGGAGGATTCTCTGATACCTATGCTGCTCTGTGTGATTTCAATGAAATGCCATTCAGAGAGGAGATTCAGTGGGTAAGCCACTACTGTACTGCAACATCAAATACTTTTACAGGCGACATGTACCAAACTTTCCAAAGACTTATTTCGCCATGAACTACTTAAGTGACACTTTACACTTATCAGTAAGTGAATGTTAGCAATGGTATATCTCAATCAGGCATGGCTGACTGTTTCCACAGGATGTTGACAATATCTACTACATTAACAACTGGAGAGAGTTCAATCTGCTGGACTTCAGCCACCTAGACAGCAGGTAAGATACAGTACAGTGTGCAAACGTAACTTACCTCTGTTACATACTGTTTAAATTCTTCTCCTTTGCTCTTAGGGACTTGGCATTAGCAGTAGCAGCTCTGTCTTTCAACCAGTGGTTCACCAAGATCTACTGCAAAGAACTCAAACTGGTAAACTCTGTTGTTTGTGTTCTTTTGTTGTTAATGGTTTGAATCCAAGCCCATAAAGAAGATGGTGTTGAATATTAACAAAGTCCACAATCCCACTTCATAGAAAAATTGCCTGCACACTGACTAAAAAAGATGTTTCATATGCAAATAGAATCAATTTATACTGTGTGCAAAAGGTGATGCAATGTAAATGTGGAGAGTATGTGGTACATACACATGATTAACTCTTGGTAGATGTGTGGTTATACAACTGCCTACTACACATCTAACAAACCTTTTCAAGGGCTGAATCGAGGCTATTTCCTCCGCTCCGTTCAGGCCATTCAGTAATACATTCCAAAACCTAATACACTAATAAATGGGGGACGAATCTATAATCCTGGTTTAGCTGAAGCTGAAGTTATACTTTAGCAGTCTGAGTCAGACAAATCAGGTATCTTCTATAGTTGCAGTGTTAAGTTTTTCCCAGATAGCATTTCTTGCAGAGCTAAGGAATAGTAACACAAGAAGGTAGAGTATTGAGATATATAAAAAGATGTATTTAAGATAGACTTGGAAATATCTGACCATCCTTCAAAGTGAGACCAGTTTATGTGTCAGATTGCAGGGCAGCAACATCAGGGCAAATACGTACCATTATCTTTGCTGTGCTGAACTTTGAAGTACCAACCATTTACAGAAAGATGAAGAATTCACTGCTTCCAAAGCATCATCCCACCAGAAGGCTGATAAAGTCTCCACTACTTTAGTCCCTGAATTCATGCATATTGTGAATCTATGGAAGATGTATTGCCACATTTCTCTGCACTGAAGAGTTTTCACACACACTGTGTGGAACCAGACTGAAAGTTTGTTTCGGACTGCCTGTCTCTGTGTCTTTGTTCCTTAGTCCATAGACATCCAGCAGCAGCTGACTTTCTTGCTGTCCAGATCTCCCAGTCTGAAGGAGCTCTCACTAGAGGCCAGTGGACTCAAACTGTGAGTTTGTGTGTGAGTGTGTACAGTGACATACTGCAAGGTAGGCAAGCAAGTAAACACTTCCCCAACAGGTATGAGATGCTCAACTTTCCATTTCTGTAGAGATGCTGCTCAATTAGTTTCAGTAGGACTAGGTAGCCGTTTGAATTAGGGATGCACGATAATCAGTATTGGCTGGTATTGGCTTAAGATGAAATATTGGAATCAGCCAAGTTGCCGATTTCTGCCGATATGTCAAACCGATGTAAAGATTTTTTAGGAAAAGAGAGAGACAACTGGTTGCTCATGGAGAACCAGAAACAACAGGATGCACTCAAAGGCAATCTAGGCATTCCAAAAATATATAAAACAAGGAAGGATGTATTAAAAACCCTTTATTGTAGTGGCTAAATCATTAAAAGAGCCAACATATTTTGACCACTGAAGATCATCATGAGGGCTCTAAAAACAGGTTTTTACATCTGTTTTACAAATTTCTTAAAACACCACAAACTAAAACAACACCTTTAGAAAAAGGCTTTGGATTATTATTTTCCTAAGGGCTTTTCCAATTTTAAAGGAAATGTTCTTTATAAATGAATATAAATCAGACAATGAAATTATAGTACTTCACAATGCAAACACAAATAGGCCATATGGTATGGCATGCATCCCTAGTTTGAATGTGTGCGTCAATTTAAAGTGGATTTGTGTCGGATAAAAGTTAAAGTTGTAAAGATGATTCTTAAATTCTTATAAATAGAAGGAGGCTTTACACAGTCTGACCTAGGCTGCAGGCCCAGGGCCCTGATATGGCCAGATATTTTTTAAAGGGACCTAAGGATGCTGTGGTGGAGAGCCCTCTGTACCCTTATGCAGATCCATGCCATCAGCCTGCCATCAGCGTCCTCGGTGTAAGACTTGTCTGCTTGTGAAAAAGGTTGAAATCTGACAATACTAAGGGCCCAACTTTCTTGGCAGTGCAACAGCCAGTTCAAGCTGATATTTTCCAGACCTTTTGATGCTCTTTGCCAGTCTTTGTAGTGTTTTGGAGGTTTGGACCCCAAGTACTATGTCCATCTCAAACATGAGTTTTTTCCTTCAGGAAGGTTTGCCATAAATTCTCTGATGTTGTGATGTTTCTGGGCTGTTGTTTCTGTCAGATGGACTAGGAGACACTGGACCACATGGTTTGTTGTAACTAAGGGAAATAAAGTCTAGTTTACAGGGAGCGATTGAGAACCTTGTTATTCTGCTGCAGGGACTTTGCACTCAAAATGGCAGCTGCCCTGCGGGAGCATGAATCCTCCACCCTGCAATCCATCAACCTCTCAGGCAATCCAATCGAAGACAAAGGTGGGCTCTTTATCTATCATATGTGAGTGGTATAAGCACAGTATGCACTTAGTTGCTCTTGTTCCACCTTGAGCCAGGTGGTTATTTTTACTGTTTGGTTTTGGTTCAGCACAACACTGTTTTTCTTCAATGATACTAAAACAATTGACATATTATTAGTTGTAAAACAGACAATTTTTCACAGTAGACATTTTGACTTGTCAAATCAGGAGACACACAGGTGGAAATAACAACATTAACGATGGCTCCATTTCATGCAGTGTCTTAGTGACCCATGTCAATCAGTATGTTTACATGACATTGGAGGAAATTGATTTATTGTGTTAGTCTGACTAAAACTGGACTTTTAGGTGTTAACATGTTTGTCAGACTGACGTTGAACGTCAGTCCAACAGTCAGTTGGACCTATATACAGTCAGTTGGACCTAAACTGTCTTAGGCACTCTGCACATGCTCCACAGTTTCAACCCTGGGCTTTACCCGGAAGTTGAAAGCATTAAATGTGTAACAGAAGAAGCTGGTAACAACATGGTGAAATCTACATCCAGACCCATGCATTTTTGGACAAACGAGGAGACATGCTGTGTCAGCTGAAAGAGTTAAATATTCTAAAATACGTGGATGCGAGGAAAAAACAGCATTGCAACCTGTTTAAAAAAAGTGGCCGAACAGCTGGACAACGCTCACTTGTTTAGTCTGTGATGTAATAGGTCAACTGGAAAAAGGTCCAATACTAACAGGGTGAAAGGAGAAGTATCACCACCTATTGTAGTAAAGTTGGATATATTTCGGTCAATAAATCGTTCCCTCTCCCATGCTTGTATACTGGGACAAGGACATTAGTCCAATTAAATGGTCTGGTTGAGCTGCAACCATAGCACGATTCAACTGTGCATGTAAATGTAATGCACAGTGCCAGAGACCTGGAACTGACCCACCTAAATGGAACGTGGCCATCATTAGTGGTGGCCAAAGAACACAACTCTATTTCTTGAGGCAAAGTACAGATACTCCTGGTCAAATATTACTCCGATACAAGTGAAAGAGCTGAGTCAAATTATTACTTGTGTTAAAGTACTGTACTTGCTTTTAAATATACTTCAGTATTCAAAGTACCTTTTTTTAATCTTAATGCACTGCATGCACACACACACACACACACACACACACACACACACCAGGTCCTACGTGAATCCACAGCGAACACACTCAGTAAAAATATTTCTAACAGTGAACGACATCTTTGCGGGCAAATTCATAAACAGTCGTTTGACCGAACATAGCACAATAACTGCAACTACTACAAGCACAGACAGCTTAATATTCATCTGGAATAAAGCAAAAGGTTACATACTCCAAAATTTCTCAGGTTAGATGGCGAAGTCTTGTAGACCTTGATGAAATTTATGCGTGGCAAACAGAAAACATTTAAAATGATAGAAATCATATGTCATTTGAAAAACTTCAAACATAGACTTATTGTATGGTCATTGGTGATCTGGTGAGGAATCTTAATCTCCATCTGCTGCTGTAGCCATAGTAACACCGCATAACCAAATACTGAATACTTTAACTGTACTTAAGGCAATACTTAAGTAAATGTACAATGTTATTGTTCACCACTGGCCATCATTAATGTCATGAATTCCACCTGTGAAAACGGTCTATAGGCACATGTGATACAAGAAGAACTGGTGACTGTATTCATATCAGTTCTGTATTTTTAAACATTAACAATGTAATATTTCTTTGTGCATAAAGGGTGTACTTTAGAACGACCAACAGGTTTGTTACCATCAGTATACACACTGGGCTGGACTATATCATATACTATATTGTGTGTGTGTGTGTGTGTGTGTGTGTGTGTGTGTGTGTGTGTGCGCACGCGTGCGTGTTGTGTTTTCATTCCTAGGTGTCACAGCTCTCAGTCAAGAGTTGGGGAATTTAGGTGAAGGACTCAAGCACCTTTCTCTGTCCCGGGTATCCATGACTGCAAGAGGTATGCATGCACGCATGTATGCACACTGTATGTATATATATATATACATATATAGATATATACACACACACATACATACATATATATATGTATACATACCCACTTTGATCTGTCTTAGGGTTGCGTCGGTATGAGATTTTCACAGCATGATAACCATCCCAGAAAATATCGCAGTGTCACGGTATCATGGTATTATAGAAGTATTACTATTATTATTATTATCAGTCAGAATTACCTTTAAAGGAATGGAAATGCAAGAGTTATTTTTGGTTGTACAGATGTTTTATTACTGTAATTTTTAGTACTGTAATTGAAATTTGAAACCATTTTGTAATGGAAGCTTGAGTAAAAAGGTGAGATTCTTCATCCAGTTGCATTTTTTTCAGTGTCATACATAAGCAATTGTGCACTGTCAATTTTCGTATCATGGTATACCTTGAAATCAGTGGTGGCTGCTGGTCTTTTCAAACAGGGGAAGCTCACTTTAAGTTTACATCATAAAATTTGTCATATTGTAGCGAGGCAGTAACTTATAAAAGGAACATTTAATTGAGGCCATTTTTCAACCACAGTCATGCTATAGAACCAAAACAAAATACACCTCAAAGATTTTCACATGGGTTTAAACACCTGAACTGTACTGTACAAACGGTGAAAATGAGCTTTATAGCTTATGAAAATAAGGAACTCTTGACGGCACTCTGTCAGAAGACTCACAAATATCCGGATGGGACTGAGCTTGAAATGCGAAGCGCTGTCAGTCACAAAGGGGTTCCGCCTTTTAGACGATTCCTCCAATCATTATGCATACATCGTGCGTCCTTTCCCGCCTTCCGCTCCATTAGGTCCCAGGGAAGCTGAGCCTCCCTGGAAGTGTCGCAATGACTGTCTCACTTTGCTGCATGAAAAAAACCTGCTCAGCGCTGTCTCATAGGAATGCTTGGAGGCTCCGCGTCCACTGTGCTGACACGAGAATGTATGACAGAGAGGTCACATTTGAAAACTGGTGATAAACAGCTGAAGTTTGAACATCATAGTCATGATGTGAAACGCATCCTAGCACACGTTTAATGCAATGTAAATTCTTATTTTAATGTAAATTCAATAGTGCATATTTGACCATTTCTTCTATGAAATATTAGGGGAGGTTCAGCCTCCCTTGTTGTCTCAGAGCAATCGCCCCTGCTTGAAACCAGTATACCACTACAACCCTAGTCCGTCTGTCACTGTAGTTTTATTAACTAGGAGGATGTACAGCGTGGAGAGAGAGGTGGAGGTGGAGGTTACATTAAACGAAGTTGGATGTCACCTGGATGGTGTACTATGACATAATTCCAACTGTGATATTTGGAAATCTGTATCCTGCAACTATCAGTGTCATTTCAAACTAGATGAAATTCTCTCACAACGTTGCCTTTGCATCCTGTGATCCTCCTCCACCATCATGATGGCTGTTTCTTCATGGTGTGATCTGCCTGTCTCCAGGTCTGGGCTGTCTGAGTCAGGTGTTATCCTCCTCTCATCTGTTCTCAGCATCTCTGACCCACCTCGACCTGTCAGATAACCCCGGCAGTCTGGTAACTGAGGAGGCCACGGTACGCTCTGCACTCTGTGTGTTCATGTCATGTGGATACATACACAATACACATACTGTGCATACACATCCAGAGGTGGAGCTGTAACTGGGAATTTCTGGAGATATCTAGTAATTTATGTATGTTATACTACAGTTGCAATCCAAATGATTCAACCCCCATTTCAAATAAAATTTGTTTTCAAAATGTACAAACTTTTAGCTTTTTGCAGTACACAAATCAAACAAGAACAATATAAATAGCTCAACACAACTGATATTTACAAGTGATTTCTCCCAATTCATCACATATCGCTTTTACTACTGCAGTCTCAAAATTATTCAACCCCTATATGATAAGTGTCTTTAGTACATAGTAGAGCACCCTTTTACTGTTTTAAGCTGCTGCAAACATGACGCACACTTCTGAGGAAGGGGGAAGTTTCCAGCGAAACATGTCAAGGTATGTAATATCCTAACATGTCTGAGATAAAAGAACACTAAAGTCATTATCATAAACTAAAGACATAATGAACACCATTCAACTATTAGGCATAGTGAGATTCCAGCCGCTGGCAGCATTCCTTAGGATTGTTAGCCCATTCTTCATAGTCAATGAGCTCTAGTTCACTAATATTCTTGGGTTTGCATGCTGCAACCCCCTTCTTCAAATCGTGCCAGAGATTCTCTATTGGGTTCAAGTCAGGTGACTGTGATGGCCACTCCAGAATTTTCCAGGACTTCTTCTGAAACCAAGCCTTGATGGACTTGTAGGTATGCTTTGGATCATTATCCTGTTGGAAGGTCCAATGACACTCAAGTTTCAGTTTCCTCACAGACGGCATGACGGTTTCTCCTAGGATTTCCTGATCCTTGACTGAATCCATCTTGCCCTCTACACGCTGCAGGTTTCCAGTGCCAGAGGAAGCAAAGCAGCCCCAGAGCACCCCTGAACCACCACCATGCTTTACTGTAGGCAGGGTGTTCCTTTTAGAGTATGCTTCATTCTTTCTCCTCCAAACATACCGCTGACCCTCAGGCCCGAAAAGTTCCAGTTCTGTGTCATTGCTCCACAGAACAGAATCCCATTTGAGCATATTGGAGCTGACTTTTCTTTTGCTTGTGGGTGGTGTACGTTTTGGAATTCGGGTATAGAGAACTTCAGCATTTAGTATGCACCTTACTGTGAAAACTGAAACCTCAGTGCCTGCTGCCACTAAGTCTTGCTGCAGGTCTTTTGCAGTCACTCACTGTTTTTTTTTACCACTTTTTTACCACAGGGATCAGATGGCAGCCATTGATAGCTTCCTCTTTCTGGCACGTCAAGGTAGTGTAGCCAGTGTTCCTTTAACTTTGAACTTGTGGGCTATGCTTCCAACTGTATCTTTAGGAACATTCAGTGCCTTTGCTGTCTTTTTGTACCCTTCTTTTTTTATGCAAGGCAAGGATCTCTTTTCTCTTTTTGAACAGTTCTCTTGATTTAGCCATATTTCTCAACATGCAATCAAACGTCACAATCAACAAACCCCTAGTCAGTCCAGGTATTTGATGTGTTCTATCTCAAGCACACCTGATGCAACTAATGAAGCCCTTGATCAGTTGCATCAGGTGTGCTTGAGACAACATCTGATTTGCAAATGTGTGCACTTATGAGGGCTTCTTTTAAGGGGGTTGAATAATTTTGAGACAGCAGTAGTCATTAAAAGTTGCATTTTGTGTTGAATTTTGCAAATAAACCTAATTTGCAATGGTGGTTGAATAAGTTTGATTGCAACTGTATAATCATATACTAAAGCTTTATACAGTTTTACTTTCAAGTTTCAGAGTTTTTATTTGTCACATTCTCAACATAGCTCCACATTGTGCAGTTAAATGTTCATAGTTCAAAAAAGTGAACAAATAGTGTAAAGAAAGCAAGATGTAAGCACAGTTTACCCAGAGAGACAGGACTGCAGCTGGCAACAGCAGCACCATCTTAATAAGCATAATAAATAATGATAAATATACAGTACAGGCCAAAAGTTTGGACACACCTTCTCATTCAATGCGTTTTCTTTATTTTCATGACTATTTACATTGTAGATTCTCACTGAAGGCATCAAAACTATGAATGAACACATGTGGAGTTATGTACTTAACAAAAAAAGGTGAAATAACTGAAAACATGTTTTATATTCTAGTTTCTTCAAAATAGCCACCCTTTGCTCTGATTACTGCTTTGCACACTCTTGGCATTCTCTCAATGAGCTTCAAGAGGTAGTCACCTGAAATGGTTTCCACTTCACAGGTGTGCCTTATCAGGGTTAATTAGTGGAATTTCTTGCTTTATCAATGGGGTTGGGACCATCAGTTGTGTTGTGCAGAAGTCAGGTTAATACACAGCCGACAGCCCTATTGGACAGCTGTTAAAATTCATATTATGGCAAGAACCAATCAGCTAACTAAAGAAAAACGAGTGGCCATCATTACTTTAAGAAATGAAGGTCAGTCAGTCCAGAAAATTGCAAAAACTTTAAATGTGTCCCCAAGTGGAGTCGCAAAAACCATCAAGCGCTACAACGAAACTGGCACACATGAGGACCGACCCAGGAAAGGAAGACCAAGAGTCACCTCTGCTTCTGAGGATAAGTTCATCCGAGTCACCAGCCTCAGAAATCGCAAGTTAACAGCAGCTCAGATCAGAGACCAGATGAATGCCACACAGAGTTCTAGCAGCAGACCCATCTCTAGAACAACTGTTAAGAGGAGACTGCGCGAATCAGGCCTTCATGGTCAAATAGCTGCTAGGAAACCACTGCTAAGGAGAGGCAACAAGCAGAAGAGATTTGTTTGGGCCAAGAAACACAAGAAATGGACATTAGACCAGTGGAAATCTGTGCTTTGGTCTGATGAGTCCAAATTTGAGATCTTTGGTTCCAGCCACCGTGTCTTTGTGAGACGCAGAAAAGGTGAACGGATGGATTCCACATGCCTGGTTCCCACTGTGAAGCATGGAGGAGGAGGTGTGATGGTGTGGGGGTGTTTTGCTGGTGAAACTGTTGGGGATTTATTCAAAATTGACGGCACACTGAACCAGCATGGCTACCACAGCATCCTGCAGCGACATGCCATCCCATCCGGTTTGCGTTTAGTTGGACCATCATTTATTTTTCAACAGGACAATGACCCCAAACACACCTCCAGGCTGTGTAAGGGCTATTTGACCAAGAAGGAGAGTGATGGAGTGCTGCGGCAGATGACCTGGCCTCCACAGTCACCGGACCTGAACCCAATCAAGATGGTTTGGGGTGAGCTGGACCGCAGAGTGAAGGCAAAGGGGCCAACAAGTGCTAAACACCTCTGGGAACTCCTTCAAGACTGTTGGAAAACCATTTCAGGTGACTACCTCTTGAAGCTCATGGAGAGAATGCCAAGAGTGTGCAAAGCAGTAATCAGAGCAAAGGGTGGCTATTTTGAAGAAACTAGAATATAAAACATGTTTTCAGTTATTTCACCTTTTTGTGTTAAGTACATAACTCCACATGTGTTCATTCATAGTTTTGATGCCTTCAGTGAGAATCTACAATGTAAATAGTCATGAAAATAAAGAAAACGCATTGAATGAGAAGGTGTGTCCAAACTTTTGGCCTGTACTGTAAATGAAAATTATAAGAAATATGTGCAAAATTAAAAGGGGCACACTTTATTGATGACCTCATGAGCTGAAAGTCCTGGTAGATGTGTGGGGATGGATGTTCTACATGTCCCAGGTAACACTGACTTGTGAGAATAACAATAAATTGACTTTTCAGCAACACTTTGACTGTGCACTCTGCAGCAGAGCATGCCTAAACATCTGAAACACATACCACACAGTATAGATATTCATTATGTGTGTGTGTCTTGCAGTTTCTCTTCAAGTTCTTGTCCAGCACTAACTCTCTGTCTCATCTGGACCTCAGTGATACCAACTGCCCTCTGGACACGGTCAGTGACTGACACTTTATACAAATGTTATAACTGCTTTTCTCCTCACCTCTCACTTGAAGGAATAATATTCAAATATTTTGGAAAGTCAGCTTGCTTTCAGAGGAGAAGATCAATATGAGTTTATCTTTTTGTGTCCAGTAAAGAGATATATCTAAGATGTGGTTAATCTAACTTAGCATAAATACTGGTTGTAGGGGGAAGTGTTAGCCTACAGTAGCTCCTTCATCATGTAACTCCAGAGTTTATTTACATTTGCAAATGAAACTTTCGGTAAGCACTGGAGCTAGGTTTGATGCTTTAACAAATAATCATTATTTCATCTCGTCTCATTCTATTTGTTTCTAATCAGAGGTGTAGTAATGAGGGGGGAAGTGGCACTACCTACTCAGAAAGCCTGGAAATTATAAGAAATCCTGACATTTGTTCAGCAACTCTTAAAATTGCAATTGTTAATAATTTATTGCTGTTCGCAAAATAAATTATTTAACAGACAATTTCTTGTATCTAAAACAGACAGAAGTGGGGAAAAATAACAGCTGTTGACAAATTTCTTGCGAACCCAACTTGTTAGCAGTATTTCAGAATGGTTTAATACTGGCATGATCAGCTGCAGCTGTTACAACATATTCTGTGACCACTGTAAAATGATGTGACTGAGTGATGAGAATAACCTGAACTGATTCAGTTATTTGTAAATAGGAGACAATGGATGAGGGGAAGGATTTAAGGGGAGAGGGGCCCACTAAGGCTTCATATATGGGGTCCAGATTTTTGTGCTGGCCACTGTTGTTAATTGAACTAATGTGAATTATTATGGGTCACATGACTTGGATTCGACTCAACGACTCAACCACTCAGCGACTCGACGACTTGACAACTCAATGAGAAAAAAACACTTGCAACTCGACTTGGACTTCAACACCAGTGAGTTGTGACTTTATTTGGACTTGAGCGTGCTGACTATAAAATACATGATTTCCCCAAACCCAAAGATTAAAAGGTATATTTAAAAAGTGTGTCACCAATCAATACATTTACCCTAATTTCCTGAATCAGCTAACATTAACGCTATTTACTCCCAGAAAGTTAACGCTCTGATTCCTCAGATCCACTTTGTTTGAACCAATCTGACACCATCCAGTCAAGTTGCAGCAGAGAACAATGAAGAACTGACGTTACCTTATTGAGCACCAGTTGGAGAAAGTGATACGAAAGATGCAGTGGTCAACAAAAACCAAATTACAGGATGCAAATCTTGTGGGTCAAAAATTACAGTTGAGGCTTAAATTGACATAGTTAGTGAGCTAATGCTTAGCGAACATTGGTTTAACAGCTAAGTAACTATTTAAGAAACTTTTATAAAGCATTCATGATTTTTGTACATTTAATATATTGTTACTCCATTGTTAAAACAGCAGTACATTTAGTGAGGAACACATTATGACTTGTTTAGGACTCGAAACTCAAAGTTTAGGATTAGGGATTTGACTTGGGACCTACCTAAGACTTGACACCTACTTGTGACTTCCAAAACAATGACTTGGTCCCACCTGTTGTTATGTGTTCTTCTGTGTTTGTTATTCTGCACTGAACACTTTCTCATTGTAACTTTCTCTCGCAGTTATTTGTGTCCCTGTCTGCTGGATGTTGTTACAAACTGCTGCACCTGAACCTGGCCAGGAATCCTTTCAGCCACAGGTCAGTTCCACTGTTCCACTTCACTAATGTCAGAGGCTGTTTCTGAGATGTCAGACATCTTTGCAGTATTCAGACACAAGGAAGTCAGTATTATTGCACGCAACATTGATTTACAATTGTGGTGACCTCCTCCCAGGCTACCTTTGCATCATCAGCCCGTGGAGGTCTGCTCGCAGTTCCGTATATTCAGACACTGCGAGCTTGGACCTCCTGGACCAAAACATAAGTTTCCTCCTGGGAGAAGTTTGGCCGTCTGACGCTGCTGCTCTCTTCTGCCATGGTGAATTGAGTAAACTCTCATTACGCCTTCGCGCGGCGCATTTAAGGGCGAGGAGAGGGGCTCATTTGATTGGTGGGATGTGTGTAAAACCCACTCCACGCCTTCTCTCCTCCCTCTTTCCGACTTGAGCAGGTAGGAGGGACGGAGGTGGGAAAGAGGAGTAGCTGCGCCAGGCGCACGGTGTGCCAAACTTACAAAATCCGCCTGGCCACACTCAGTTGGCGAAGCGCAGGTGCGCTGCGCCTCTGCCGCGCCCAGTCTGCGAAACTAGAGCCCCTAGTCTCAACCAATAGCAACTAAGTATGTGTAGAGGAGATCATGATTGTTTCCGTGTCTAACCAGCTGATATTGTATAATATTGAAAAAGCAAACACGTGAGCACACTCAAATAGAAAAAAATGAATGAGGTGCACAATGCTGATGAAGGTTTACGGCTGAAACGCGGACATTTATGAGCGCTGGCCTCCTTTGATATTTATTGTATAATATTGGCCATGAAAAGTACAAACTGCCCCTGAGAGATGCTGCCTGGCTGGCTGGTGAGTCAGGAGACAGACACCGAATGTCAGCAAATAGAAAATGTATGACTAACATCATATTTCCCTGTATTTATGAGCATTCTAGCAAACATTAGCTAGCAAGCTAGCCTTCCGCATCCCCATCAGGCACTGCCCACATTCAGCACCAATATCACCTCGGCAAGCGATGATCACTTGCCTGTGTGACCATGCCCTGACGTGAACCAAAATGTTAATGAATCAGTTGGTGGAATCCACTCTATGATTTGGTTGATAAAATTGAGTGAAAAGGAAACACAGCCTATGACAGTGTGTGTGTGTGTGTGTGTGTGTGTGTGTGTGTGTGTGTGTGTAGAAAGGTGCGGGAGGTGACCAGGAGCATTCGAGAGTTCTTCAGTCAGAGCTGTGAGCTAAAATATGTGGGCCTGTCTGCAACCAAACTACCTCCACAAGCTCTCAGGTGAGTTGATTCCCAAAGAATGCAATAATATAATATTCTTTTTTTTTTTTATCATGGATGTCAAACTTCTTTACCATGGGAATTGCAGTTTGACAAAATAATCTTCACTCAAGGTCCACTTACAAGCCGGGATGTGTAAGAAGTAGGACTGTCGTCACATGGGCGCATGCTCGTGCAGCGACCAGCAGCAGATGTGAATGACGCTCGCTTGTTTCGAGCTTTTGTCGTGTTATGTTAGACTGCTTTTTGTTGATTTCTCGTCAGCTTTTAACACGATCCTCACAAACAGATCACAACAAGTAAAAGTGAATGGAACATTGTCCAGCCTTCTAACATCCTCCACCGGTTCACCTCAAGGCTGTGTTTTGTCTGCCCTTTTATACAGTTTGTACACAAATGATAGTTTTAGCCACCATATCGACAGTTTCATCATAAAGTACGCAGATGATTCTGTTATCGTCAGCCTGCTTCGGGATGATGAAGTTGGTCACGGCCAGGTTCTTGTTGATTTTATATCTTGGTGTTAAGAATCCTTCCTCCAAATCAATGTCTCTAACACAAAGGAGGTTTGTATTGATTTTAGACGACCATCTCCAGTTCCTCAATGTAGTGTCGTTCACAATCAGCCAGTTGAGCTGGTGACCAATTACAAGTATCTTGGCACTATAATTGATAACACACTCAAATTTGATGTGAACTGTGATATGCTTTGCAAAAAAGGTCAGCAACGCCTCTTTTGTCTGAGGAAGCTCGCCAAATTCCAGGTAGATAAGAGCCTGATGAAAATGTTTTGCAGTGCTTTTATCGAATCTGTCGGGTTTCTTTTTTCTTTTTCTATATTTCCAGGAATATAAGCTTCTTCCTTCTGGCCTCCGCCTAAATGTTCCCCCAGCTACTAAAAACAGATACAAATTTTCCTTTGTGCCTCTCTCCATCCGGGCTCTAAATGCTGTGGATCGGAGGAGGTAACTGCACTGTGGTTTAAAACTTCCATTGCTACTATTTTGTACCTGTTTGTTTATTTATTTATTTATTTATTTAACACCTGATTTGGGGGACACAGTCCTGGCTAGAAACGCAGCGATGTCTCGCTTTTCAACTGCAAACCAGCGGCTTTTTGTAGCACCATCCTAATATACCATCCTCGTACCAGAATAACCAACAACGCCCCCATCCCAAAACATGGCCAAAAGGGCTCTCAGTTACAAGTTTATAGTCTAAATTCAGACTTCCAGCGTTCCAGCGTGTCCGAACTGCATGCTGGGTAACATGCAAACTAGCTGGCTGGCGTCACGCCCAGAGTAAATTAAAGCAAAAAACAAAGAAATTAGGACTCGGCTCGTTCGCGAACGTCACATCACTAGTTGGTAAACAATGGAGGAGAAACTAGTGGTAGAGGTTGCTGGATACCCAGAGCTGTACGGTCCAACGATAGATAGCAGGTTGTCAGTCTGCCCTCGGCTCATCCAAAAATGTGCCTGGAAACGGCCATCTTCGAGTTGAAGCTCCTGGACCAACTGGTGGTTCTCCCCATGATCCACCCTCTATTTTATTGTCTCATGTACCCACGCAGATCTCTGTTTCCATGTGCCCAACTATTTGCTGACAGCCTCTCATTCTCAACCAGAGCTACAGCATGTACCCTCTGCCTGTGCATTTTAGGAACTAGCTACTAATTACTGTGAAAAAAATAAATAAACAGTAGATTGATTCCACAGGAAGGATAGTGTAAGGACGTGAAAGAGGCGCAGCAAGCGTTTTTTACTGGTGGCATTTAATTACAAAAATAAAAATAGAAGGCAGTGCGGTGCAAAACGCTTTCTGTGTGACCAGCGCCTAACGCATCACCCCCAACACTGATTTAGGGATTACAGTAAAATGACATACATACATACACATATATATATATATATATATATATATAAATGATTTCAGTTGGACTTGGAGATTGTTTGATCAGAGTGGGGTATTTTGTTTGTTTAATGGTGTAATGGTATTATAAGCTATGTGCAGCTAAACTACACCCTCAATCTCTCTTCTATACCTAAAAACCAGTTCTATAACCTACTGCCATTGGTACAGTAAATTGGAACACTTTAACACTGCCAGTGAGAGTAGCCAGCATTGTGTTTGATCTATAAAGAGCTTTAGACCTTTATTTTCTTACAGTAATGGAAAGTATAGCATTATGGCTAGGTTAAAGGTTAATGTATGTACAGTTACAAACCAAGGGTCCCCAGTAACGCTACTCTATTATTTCAGTTACTACCATGGACAGGAACTTGTTGGGCATCTCTGATGTAATTCATATCCCTTTTAACCCCTTGAGTCCTAGGCTATTTTGGCCATCTGTGAATCATTTTTGATTTTGCCTTTATATAACACATAAAAAATGTTTACCATACCAATGTTTGGTACCTTTTCTTTTCAGCACAACATCACCTGCATTACCTTACAGTTATCTTTTCACTATGACATACTGTGTAAATATATTGGAACCAAAAACACACAACAAACATAAAATCTGATTTGGAAAATAATGTTGTTGGTTTTTTTACTATTAACAACACATGTTTTGAAGCTGTTTAAGTTACAGTAATGGCTGGCTTTGTTGCCACCTTACAATTTGCCGGAGCCAGAAAAAGTTGTGTACAGTGATGGAAGGCAGTGTGGAGCTGAACTGAGGAAAGAAAAACAGGCAGCAACTGTCAGTGACTGTGATTGTCTGATAGTTATCAATCGTGCAAACATATGGTTGACAGTTTGACAAAGTACTATTAACTCCAAAGGTTCATGGTTTTGTTCAAGGAGTAAAGGAAAAGAATATCCAAAGAATATCTGCTATAACATGTATACACTTGTTAATTTCACAGTTTGTTTTTTTTTGTAACAAGGTTATTACTACAGGGTCTGGCAACCAACACTCGTCTCTTTGGGCTGGAGTTGGACATCAGTAGCTGTGAGGTGCACTGCACACTTACACACAAATGCAAAAGAAAACCCACCTTCATTGTTTGTAATGATGAGGTGCAGCAAACAAATAACTGTATAGCTTTGTGTGTGTGTGTGTGTGTGTGTGTGTGTGTGTGTGTAGTTACGTTCAGCAGGAGCTCAGGTGATACAGGAGCACATCTCTGAAGCTACATCTATCAGAAGTCTGGATATCTCTGACAATGGTATGCAAAGCCTCAAAGAGGAAAATCAAGACATACGCACAATTATCTCATCTCAGGACACTGCGCAGAAATGCTAACAGGAACCAAACCAAGGCTATAAGTCTTACTGCTGCAGCACCATGTTTTCACTTAGGTGATGTCACAGTCGTCTGTTAAACTGTGCTGGTTGTGGCAACCCTGATGGAGATGTTTCAAGGGTGAATTTTTTGCTGATATTTTGCTCATTATTTTTACCTGTGCATGTCAGACAGATGAATTACCACTCAATTATTACAATTAAATTTTTTTAAACAGTTAAGTTACATATAGCATAGAAACACAGAACTATTACAGATTACAGCAGGACCATACCATTTACATCAGAAATAAGATAAAAGAACATAGAATATGCTTACGCGGCTGCATAGTCACTAAATTATGTCAGATAATATATAGGCCTATATAAGAATATGTTTTTTCACTTTCTTGCTGAGAGTTAAATGAGAAGATTGATACCTCTCTCATATTTGTTTGCTAAAGATATAGCTACAGTACAGCCAGATGGTTAGCTTAGCTTAGCATGAAGACTGGGAACAAGGGGAAACGGCTAGCCTGGCTCCATCCAAAGGTAACAGAATCCAATGATTGTGATGAGACAAAACCATTTTAGAATGTTGTTGAGAAAAGTTGCAGCAGTGTGAACTGGTCCGTCTAAGCTTGACTCATACCGGCTGATGGTGTCACCTGCAATTCAGCCGGTCAAATCATCAGCAACTGGTTTTAGAACGTAAAGCACGTCATCTGTTTCAACAACCAGTCGGCTTGTAGTGAAGTTTAATGTTTCTCCCTCTCTCCTCTGTCTGTCTGCCTGTAGGTTTTGAGAATGACATGGTGACTTTGGTTCTGTCTGTTGGTCGATGTCACTCTCTACGACACCTCGCACTGGGAAGAAACTTTGCCATGAAGTCCAGGTACTTTGACTCTACCATCATTTCTTCTCCTTAGATGGATTATATATAAACTAGTCCATACCCGGGGATGTGTTATGTATAGAGGAATAAGAAATCAAAAACAGTATATTAGAGGAGATGCAAAATCAGAGCACTGTAAATGCACTATGTAATAAATATTAATGTAAGACAAACAATGTACACTGTTTTTAGAAACATGCTTTTTGCCAAAATACATGGAGCATAGTTTTGGTTGACGGCACGGAGGCGGTCATACAGGTACACACATACAGGTTTCGATCCACAAGTGTTGGAGATAAAGGCTTCCCAGCCAAACTGTGGTCCCAGCGTGCATGTGCAGCTCGCGCTGGTAATGGTGTTCACAGTATGAATGGGTAGTGGACAAAACTGCAAATATAAACAGTAGAAATGTGGGAAAAATGCAAAAACGGCATCATGGCTGTCTGCACGACCAAGATGAAAGCCTATGTGCAAGTTCAAAGAAGTAGGTCGAAGCAGTGAGGAGGAAAACGGATGATGACGGATGGAGGGAGGGACAGAGGTTTCTCCATTTAATAGTAGGATACAAACCTTTGTACACAGACAGCTGGAGATGACTGAAGTCATTGTGGCCATAAAGAAAACAATGCTAAGTTTAAAATTTAAAAAATCACTTGTTCAGCTGCATGTGTGACAGCTGCTGGGTGTATACACTAGGCCCAAATGATACAAAGCTTCTGTGAATACCTATTTAAAAATGTAAATAATATCTATTTTTTTACAGTGCCAGTTTATCAATCAAAATATTATCTTACTAAAGTCTCTCTAAGCAGTCAGAAAAGGGACTAGCATAAAAGGGTAAAAGCGGGTAAAAGCGTAAAAGCATAAAAATGTTGATGAATTCATCTAAGTCCCAGTTTGTTTCAAAGTGGTGCTTGTTAGACTGTCTGAGAGTTTGCACCATTATCCCCATTTGTATGATTTATTGAATCATGACGACAAAGACGTACAAAAAATGCAGAACAGGTTTAATAATTACATATAATTACACATTTCATGTGGTTGGATAACACACTGTAAAAAGTTAAAAACTAAAAGTTCTGTTAAAGCATGAGCAGTGACGACCCTGGGTTATACCTCTCAGGGTACAAATACATTGCTCTAACCGTCATTGATGGAGGTTGTTTGAGCAACATACAGCCTGAGTGGAAGACACTGCTCAGGGCTAGAATAATTACTGAGAGCTTATCTGCATATTTTTGGGGAATCAAATAATTTAATCAGATTTTAATTTACTGGTGACAACAAGGTCTGATTTTACTATTGTAAGGTCACTACATTTGGATATCAATCAAAGCTGAGGCAAGCAAAGGACACTGTTCCTACAAACGTTACGGTGATTACAGCTCAATCAAACCAAATGTTCTTTTGAGTGGCTCAAATGCAGATATAAAATTCATCACCCATACATCTTAGAAATGCACTTTTGGTTGACATTTTAAAGAATGTTTTGCAAACTGCAAAAATAATGATCAGGTAAACTGGCCAAACAACCTAAACAGTGTTTTACTGTAAGGCTACATCTCACACCGTATATTTAATCCCCTCCTTATCATATCACTCACAGCTCTGTCTAGAAAACTGTGTGTATGCTGGTCTGAAGTCTGTGTGAGTTTGTAACTGATGCACATAACCAAACTAACTGACATGTGCAGTTTAAACTTGTACATGTTGTTTCTTCCTTTCCCCTGTCATTCTCGTCATCATTCCATGCTTTCCTCCTTACCTTGTCTGTCATTTTTCTTGTTTTCCTGGTTTGATATGTTCCCTTTCTCTCTACCAGAGCTCTCACTGATGTTCTTCATCGTATAGCTCAGCTCATTCAGGATGAAGAGTGTGTGAGTGACACTTCCTTTAAATTAATTCACTCCCAGTCATTAATATTACCCCCCCCCCCCCCCCCCCCCCCCCCCCCCCCCCCCCCCCCCTCCAATGCTTAATTATTAGGTTTGAGCCAGGTACTGAGATGAAACGAGTATCCCCTATAGATTTTTATGAGTAAAAGTATCATCCGAGTGTCAATATCCGCACTCTTGGTGAAGGAAAATCCTTATTTGGGGAGCAGTGTTTAATCTATTACGCTTGTGATCAAAAAGGATCCAAAGCTCAGTGATAATAAAAGTAGCAACTTCTGATCAAATCATTTCAGTATCACATTTAAAATAACAACCTGGCTCAGTCCCATCCATTTCCAGTTTGAGCCACACTCACTTCAGATTCAACCCCTGCCCATTCTGAGTACAGATACAAATGCAGACAGTCTAGTTGGTTGGACTGACACAGAGAGATACAGATATAGATAATGGTCTACTCGCTCATACCTATTAATTATGTGCAACTTGATGATAATCAAACCATACTTCAGTTCACGTTCTCAATGTAAATGTTTCTGCCTAATGTTCCGCAAAAAAAAAAAAAAGTTGCAGTTTCTTATATAGCTGTGTGTGTGTGTGTGTGTGTGTGTGTGTGTGTGTGTGTGTGTGTGTGCGCGCGCACAGCCCTTGCAGTCTCTATCAGTGTGCGACTCCAAGCTGAAGACAGGGATGCACATCCTGCTGAGCGCGCTGGGCGGCCACGCTGCTCTGGCTGAAGTGGACATCAGTGGAAACAACATCGGAGACACTGGAGCCAAAATGCTGGCTAAAGCCCTGATGAGTAATACCACACTGAGGTACACACACACACACACACACACACACACGCGCACACACACACACACACTAGCCAGTAACCAATTTTTCATCTTAATTTACTATAATTTGTGAATTCAATAAGTTGTATGGCGGCCGTTGACAGTGTGAAGACAACAGCATTACATACTACCATAAAACTTCAATTAATAGCCCAGGCTATTGTTTGCTTAACCCACATCGGGCCATCAGCTGGCCTATATTTAGGACAGGCCTTAAACTCCTTTCACACAAAACTGTTGCTCAATAAAGATGAGAAATACGATCAAATTGTTTATTTTAACCATTATGAATATTAATTGTATAAAAATTAGGCTTCAAATAATATATAAATTATCAATTATTCGTTTAATCTAGCTCTGACGAATAGGGCATCAGAGAAAGAGAGTTACAGCCCTCGACTTACAGCACCCCAGGATTACGGCACCCAGCATACAGACACAACACTTAAACATGTTAAAACAATACTCACAACTTGGATACATTTTTATGAAAAACCCTTTTGATTCTTTAGATCTGAGAACCTTTACAGACTAAAGGAATGTGAATAATTTACACAGTAATCGAGGAATGGACACCTTTTTGTTTCTTTAATTTTTGTCTATCTTGCATGCCATAAATCTTTATGAATTATTCTTTGGTGCTCATGGTTTCAGTTAAATGAACTGAACACGATTGTTAACGTTAGCTCAAATGGATAGCAAAACAACCAGGTTTTATACAGCCAAAGGATTTGTATAAAAATGAACTGCTTGGCAACCAGACCAGGCGTCTAATTGAGACAGGCTTTTATTTGTCAAAATGTGTAGCCACACTGGGTTAGTAAAAGAGACTGGGTATTTAATTGGGCTTAATTTGGCTTTTAATTGAAGTTCTATGGTATTTATTCACATAGCGCTTCTTCCTATTTGGTCCTAGAAAATCATCATGTCAATACCCAGACCGGAACACTGGCTTTTTAACACTACACTCCACACAAGTGGAATAATCTGCAGAGGCTTGTAAAATAAGACAAGCTAATCCCTTTCAACCAATGGAAATCCCTCTTGACTGACTAAGTGCAGTTTGAATGCATGTGTTTTTTGTGAAATGATGTTGTCCATTATGTTGATGTTCTTTTCCTGTTTCTTGTATAATTTGTTGATAGATGCTTTGTGTGCTCCTATTGTTTTATATACTGCAATCAGGGAATCTTTGTAAAAGAGATTTACCTTAATGGCCTTCCCTGTGTAAATAATAATAATAATGATACGACTACTACGACTACTACTACTAATAATAATAATGATAATAATCATAATATCTTCATTCTTTAATAATAAGTTAATCATTAATAATTGTTTCTGAAACACACTGTTGTGCAAATTGCTCCACTTTGTGTCGTAACAGCATTACATAGGAACATTTTTGTGCCACAACCTAACCATTATTTCTCATCCAAATGTTTCCTTTCATCTGTGAGCCTCCTATCAGCCACTAGATGTCATCATTTCATTCTTTTAAAATTAACACTGAGGTCTTGACTGGCTCAGAGTGTTTAAGTATTAGATGTGTTCACTTTGATAATAGATGTTACCTGGTTCACATGCTGGTAGGATACTACACCTCCACCCAGACTGTGGTGTTGACTGTTTGCCATCCTCAACCAGACTTAGACAGACTTGTCCCAGCTATAGCTTTACTTCTTGAACTGACTTCTCTCTCTCTCTCTTTCTCTCTCTCTGTCCCTCTCTTTCAAGGAATTTAGCATGGGACAGAAACAATGTAACTGCCAGAGGTTTCCAGGATGTGGCTGATGCCTTGGAGAGGTCATACATTTACACACGCACACACACACACACACACACACACACACACACACACACACACACACACACATTTATTAACCAAGGTACACTATGAGCCAGAGTTGATTCATTCTAAAAAATAGTTTAGCACTAGTTGCAGCATCACAAACTGGCTAAATTTATAAATTTGGTAAATCTGGTAAATTTATATTCACCTGAAAATAAGAATCAATGTGTTGTGGACCTTTAAGTACATAATTTTACATTAAGTGCTTAACGTTGCATGAGGATACACTGAGTACTTGACAAATCCAAATGTTGACCTGTAATGAAAATAGTGTAGATGTAATGTAAATCACCAGTTATTTCAGTTTATCACAACACATAAATATGGGGGGGACATAAATATGTGTGTGGTTTTGAGACATTTGACTCAGAACCACAAACCTCAAACTGATGATGGCGCTTTAGGGAAAGTCAGTGTATCACCACAGGATTTATCCACTGGGCACCATGAATACAAACTTTCAAGGCAACCTATCCACTTGTCAGAGGCATAGCACCAACTTCTGGGCCCTATGGATAAGCAGTCCCAGTGGGCCCCCCGCCCTTCCTCTCTTGAGCCATGTATCTCTCATGCACCTTTTAATTTTTTTTTCACAAAGTCAGTTTGCTTTCTTTCCCCTTTCTTTCTATTCTGTTTTGGAACCCTGATATAGCTTTCTTTGGGAAAGACATGAGAGTGTTCACTGGTTTGCTTCAGAGAGCCTCCACTATTTTTTATACAAAGTTCAGTCTTTCAACCAATTTATTTCGTCAATTTTATTTCAGTTATGGCACTTATTACTTAGAAATAAAAAAAGTAAAAACCAAACCAAACTTTTCATTTCAGGCTTTTTGAGGGCCCCCCTCCCATTCGGGCCCTGGGTAATCAGTCCCACTTGAAATGTACTGCACTGCACAGTATGCATGGTGGATTAACCCTATTTGAATACAGTGGATGAAAATTTTGATGGAAGGATTCTATGTTGTGCAGGAATTTCACTCTGCAGCAGGTGTCTCTCCCTCTCGCTGATATCACACAGAGTTACCGCAGCAACCCTGACAGAACAAAAGAGGCTCTGCACAAGGTCAGTGTGTGTGTGTGTGTGTGTGTGTGTGTGTGTGTATAAATATAAGTCTATGTTTAGTAGTTACAGTTATCAGTGTGTGGGAAAATATGACTAAAACCCACACCAATTAAATTGTTGAAGGTGTTGATAACACTTTGTCATGATCTAATCTGGAGGATAATTAAAAAAGTGAATGATGTACTGTAAACACCATTTAGCATGCCTCCTCTCTGTGTCAAGTGGTGGTGAGGGGTGTGGGTAAAAATGTTATGTTAGTAACATACATGTGTAACAAAACAATTATTCAGTTTACACCTTGTGTGTGTGTGTGTGTGTGTGTGTGTGTGTGTTTGTGTGTGCAGATTCAGCAGTGTTTAGACAGAAACAACCAGAGACAGTCTGAAAGAGCGGAACTTCAGCAAGTTTTTAAAGTACAACAATCTGAGAAGGTAAGAAGCATGATAGAAATAGAACATTTGGTATTGGAGGTCAGTGGACAACAGCAGTAAAATATACTGCTGATTAAAGAAGTACTTCACTGCTGGAAAGATGGTCTTTTCATAAAACTGTCTAAATAATAATAATAGTACATTTTATTTGATAGGTGCCTTTCAAAACACCCAAGGTCACCTTACAGAGCAAATGCCAACAAGTAATAAACAGAACAAGAGACATGAATTGGACAGACACATGTAAGAGCTGGGATAAAAACAGTTATACTGTAGAGATAAAAGGGAAACACAGAGTGTTAGAGTGTACAAGCCAGTTTGAACAGGTGGGTTTTGAAGTGGGATTTGAATGATGTTAGGCTGTCAGACTGTTGAACGTGTGAGGGTAGGGAGTTCCAGAGCCTGGGGCAGTGCAGCTGAAAGCCCTGGCACTCATGGTGCTGAGGCGTGAGGTAGGAATGGATAGGAGACCAACAGAGGAAGAGCGCAGGGACTGGGACAGGGTGTACTCCTGGAGAAGGTCAGAGATGAGTTGGGGCTAGGTTGTGGAGGGCCTTGAAGGTGAGCAGAAGGTTTTTGTGGTCAATCTGGTACTGAACTGGGAGCCGGTGTAGTTGGATGACAATGGGGGTGATGTGGTCAGATGTTTTCATTCAGGTAATGATCCGGGCAGTTGAATTCTGAATGATCTGAAGCCTGTTGAGGAGTTTGGTGGGAAGGCCAGAGAGAACTGCATGACAGTAGTCAATAGGGGATGTAACAAATGCGTGGACCAAGCCCTCGGTGCTGGATTGGGACAGTGATGACGGAGTCTGGAAATGTTGTGAAGGTAGAAGAAAGTAGTCCAGGTAATGTTTTGTATGTGAGGTTCAAATAATAAAGTGCTGTCCAGAATGATACTGAGGCTCTTGACTTGGCTGTAGAAGGACACAGGGAAGTTATCAATGATGAGGTGAGGGACGTGGGTGCTTTAGATTTTGGCCAGGGTGTTTTTGGAACCGATAAGCAGGGCCTCAGTTTAGCTCGCTGTTGAGCTTAAAAAAGTTCTTGCTCATCCAACTCCTGATGTCCTCAAGGCAAGTGGTAAAGGAGTTGGTAGGAAAGGCAGCGGAAGGTTTAATGGAGATGTAGACCTGTGTGTCATCTGCATAACAGTGGAAATGGACATCATGGTGACAAAGGATGGTGCCCAGGGGAGGTAGATGATGAATAGAAGTGGACTCAGTACAACTACAAACTGTTGTAGATAAGTTGTGAAAGAGAAAACTGCGTCTCCAGTGATCCCAATGCCAGCTATGCCCTCCAGGAGTAGTGGGTGGGAGATGGTTTTGAACACAACACCGCGGTCAAGGAGGATAAGGATTGTGAGCAGTCCAGAGTCAGCTGCATGGAGGAGGTCGTTGTTTTTTTTATTTAACCAGGGTTGTTTCAGTACCGTGTTTTGGAAAGCAGATTGGAAGGGCTTATGGAGGTTGTTTGGGTAGAAAGATGCAAATACTTTTTAAAATTAGTACTACATGACCAGAGAGAAGAAAGAGTTGTGGCATTCACTTTTGCTCAGGAAGTAGAAAACCTACAATTACCAGAATGCACTGGACCAATAAACACTCCCACTGGTAGATGATGTAATGTGAGCTGCCCGTCCTTAAACAATATAGTGGCCGGCTGGTAACAGTTGCCCTTTTTTTACAGTTAAACACTAAGCTAAAATATGTCTCTGAAAACATTTAGGCAAAAACAAAAGGACAACGCAGTAACAGAAACTTGGTTTATGTCTGATCAGCATTGCCTAGTTTTACCGTTTGATCATAGTTTGGTCTGAGTTTAAGAGAGGGGTTGGGGGGTCCCTCTCTATTTTGGTCTGTTTCTATTCTTTTTCTGTCCTAATAAGGAAAGTACAATCTGTCGTTTGTGCAACAGTCGTAGATAATAGCAGGTAGATCTGGGCACCGGCAAGATGGAGTGAAGTGTACCACAATTCATTTACACATACTACCGACTGTGTTATGACACAAAGCTGGTTGAAAATCGGTCAAGTATCCCTTTAATATAGTATAATAAATGTAGCACAATAGAAAGATAAGTCCGAATCAGGCTTCACCGGGATACAGTGTAGTATTAATTCATTTTACAATAAATAAGTAAAATAAATAAATCAGTCAAACTAAGTCCTATCATATCAGAGGTGGAGCTCTGTGACTGAAGCACATCTGATGGTTAAAAAAAAAACTATATTGTTCACATATACCAGTTTCTGTCTAGGTCAGCCCTGTCTTGGTTGTCCTCCATTATAGCAGGTCAAGGGTATGTGTCGGCAGTTGGAGGACCGCCTTCAGCGTTTAAACCACTGCAACATTCAGGAGGTCCAGGCCGACATCCTGGCAGCACACGAGGCACTGCACAACGCCAGGGAGTCCTTCAAGGTACAAGCTACTCAGATGGGTTTGCATAATCGTCATGAATTATACAAGTTTGGGCCAAAATAATCACAACCAGGCCTTGCCAGATTTCAGTGGGACCAAAGTACATGTCAACAATATGTTAAATAATAATACAGTTGTAAATGAGATATATACACTTAGTGGCCACTTTATTAGGCACACCTGTAAAATTTAAGTTTGATACAGCAGCTCAGCTTTTACAAAGATATTAATGTTCAGGTTTGATAGACAATGTCAGAGAGGCATTTGTGTAACTATATGTTTATTGTTGAGGTTGTAGTTTGCAGTGGTGTTGAACTGGATGGCATTGTATAAAGAGGTGTCTCTAATGTTTTGCCCATTTACAACCATGAGAAGGGAGAATATTAAAAACACATTTCAAAATAATGCAGTCGAGTACAACACTACTAACTATAATCTCAGTAATTAGCATAAAGTTGAATTAACACATTCAAAGTTTTAATAAAAACTGTAAAAATAAAATAGCCATGGAGCGTAGATGATGTTTTATGCCACTTATGTTTTTGTTGGCTCTCCCTGTGCAGCTGCTTCCCTCTCTGTATGAGGCAGGCAAGAAGTGTGCCTCAGATGGAGACTTGGTGAATGGCATCCTCACTGACACTGCAACTGTGCTGACGAATGAGTTCAACAGAAGCATACAGGTACACAGTTAAATAACTGTACACCTAATCACAAGGGCCAAATCACAGGGCAGCATACTGATAATCACCACAAACAGTATTTATTAAACATTTCCCAGCTAGTGAGTTTAAATTGCAAAAAAATGAAGAGAGCGTGTGCAGCAGGCTTAACTGGAATATTATTCATCAAAGTGTGCACAGAACACACACTTGATTTATGTGGAAGATAGATTAAGTGTGCACACAATAAAGCTTATATTGATTAAACAAGTGTACACACCCACATACAGGTATCTAAGTGTTTATTAATTGATGAAATTTGCCTAGTTTAGGCAATACTCTGTGGTTTCCAAAATAAGGACTCATGAAGCAGAATGCTAATAAATCATCAAAAATGCACTTCAATTATGTGCATGTATGTTATTCATATAAGATGTTCCATTAATCTTTGACAGACAAGCCTTTCAAGTACTTTTGGTACAGCAGGCAGAATGGATATGGGTCTATAATGGGTTAAAATGACTTGGTCATCAGCAGTGCTTGGTCTTAAGCATGCTCAAACCCCAGTCTGTGTGTTCCAGGAGTTGGCTGAAGGCCTGATGAGGTGTGCAGAGGCAGCGTGTCCACGGGTGGTCCAGCGGTCAAGTGTGTGCGAGTGTCTGTCAGAGTGTGTGTCCAAAAGAAGCAGACAGACACACACATTCTTGAGAAACAGTCTGGTGGAGAACACAGGGCAGATCATCAGCAACAGACTGCGGTAATAACACAAATATAGAACAGTATCATTTCAGACTGTTTGATGAACTCCACAGATACTATATGATCTGACTGACTGTTGTGATTGATGAAAAGATGATGAAGAGGAAAGTATGTAGAAAGTGTGTAGATGAAATAATGGTCAGCACATTATATCAGTAGATTCCCTTAATAGTATAATAATTATTTACTGCAAATCTCTGCAAGAAGACCTTAATGGATCAATTAAGTGCCTGATTATTTACTGTCATGAAGGTTTTTCATGCACTGTAAACCAAAAACATTTAGAACTGAAAAGCTACAGATGGAATTTGTTTGCCTTCCCCTGTTCTGACCCAAAAGAAACCGTGCTGGAAATGTTTTGCCAACATTTGGACATTTAAACAAAACCCAGGTATAAAAAAGTTAGCCCTGTGCTATTTGTTGACAAACAATCTGCACTGCATCTTTGAAGGCATGTCCACATAGGTTCAGTTAATTCTTGGATGTGTCATTGACTAATTTGCTATCCAACAAGAAACAACTAACCTAAGCTAAGCTAAGCTAAGCTAAACACATTGTGGATGAGGCAGACAGACCGATGTGTGTCTAATATATTTTACTGCTCTAAATTATGCAGTAGATGCAGTAAATGTGTTCAAGTCCAGATAATATATGCTATATTAAAATCCAATCTTATATATTTGTATTACTGTAAATAGCCCATTGATTCATTACAAATATAGCCTTCAGTCTGCTGCAATCAAATGTGTGTATTTGTTCTTTGTTTCCACCCATCCAGTGAACTGAGACAAACACTGAGTGTCTCTCTGGCTGAAAGCATCTTAGAGCAGGTACAACAGGATCTGACCATGGCGCAGGACAAAATGGTAAATGTGACTCTATTGTATTTTGTATAAGTATGTGGGGGTGTGTGAAGTGTTATGATGGTTACTCCGTACATGTAATATTCATTACAATAAGGACCAATTTTTGAGAAATGTCCTTGTTTACAGTTTTATGCACATTCAGATGGAAAGGTAGTTACACCTCTGTGTATCCAGTGCACAGATGAGTCCATGTTGTCTTTAAGCTAACTAAACACAAACACAGGAACTGCTGGCTGCATAAAAAGTGAAACAATACAAGCTTATTATAAATCCAAAGCTTTCTCTTAACGTTACACTGTAATGACCTTATTCCTGAGGGCGCTATTGTAGAAATGATTATGGGTACAATTTCTGGTGAGACAGTGGAAGTAGCAGTAAGCTAGTTAGTCCCATTGGCTGCTTACGGTTAGTCTCAGTGGCTAATCTTGATGGCTAACTGCCAACAGTGGTTCTTTTTGAAAGTAATTTGCCTTGAATTTGGCAAATACTGTTTTGTTCTTAACAGATATTTAACTGATGTTAAATTAGCATGTTCTAAAATGTCCATTAGGAGCAATGGTACCTGTTGTGCTGTTCACGTTGTGTTACGTTGCTATTGTAATGTTTTCCTTTACTTACTGTGTAGGATTGCCTTATAAAAGAAAACGTATGCACTGCTCTGAAAATCAATGTCCCAGAGATTCGACTGAGTGAGAGTGACTTCCCAACTGATGACGTAAGAGACACACACACCCACCTACCTGTCCATTCATCTGTTATTTACTCATTCATTGATGTGTTGGATTCCCATATTTTGTTCTTCCTCTTGCTTTATCTCTCTCCATCACCAGTACAGTCCAGCATTTTGGAGAAACAGTTTCCACTCCAAGAGCCTGAGGCCTGCCCCTTCTATTAAGAGTAAGTATGAAAAAATGTGTTGTGATATGGTGATGGTCTTAGAAAACAGTTGCCTATTAACACATCCAACAGACTGTGTGTTTGTGTCCAGCAGAATCTAATAGTCTATCTCTTTTAGCTCTGTTTTTGATCTCAACCAAGTCCTGAGACAAATATATGACTCTTTAGCTGCTAAATGCTTCACTATGCTCACCAGCTAGTCCCTGACTGTGTCTGTCTGCTGTTTGATGCTTAGCAGGTAGTGTGCAGTGAGTTAAACAGAGCTCTTGCATGCTGCTGCTGGAGACCAGGTTGGTGACAGTGGTGAGACTAAACCAAACAGTAAAGTTGTGGGCTGTAACCACCAGTTACTTCACTTTCTGTTGTTACTCTAACTGTAATGTTATTATTAATAATAATTAATAATTGCAAGCTAGAAGCTGAGTTTAGTTTGGAGGTGTCTATGAATACTGAATGCATCCCTTTGTTATAATTCAGAAGCAGAAATGAGGAAATTTGACAGCACAAACTATTAATTTGACAATATTTATTGGTAATTTAGGAGGAAGAATTTGTAATTCAAGAGTACAAATTAAATAATTTGGCAGTGTTAATGTGAGAGTACATCAGGTAATTTGACAGTAATAATTAATAACTGGTAACAACAGTTTGTTCTGCCCCCATCATCATTCTTCTTCTTCTGATTCTTCTGATAATAATAATTATTATTGTTATTATTATCATTATTAATATTTTATTAAAGAGCAGAAGGTTAACATCATAAATTATGAGTTTAATTGTACAAATTAAGTAATTGAGAGGGCTGATTAATAATTTGATAACATGAATGAGGACTGTGCACAACTTTTTTTTTCCCATGACCTCCATGCCAAAATGTTGGAACTAATGTGCAACACAATGACAATTTTGCAACTAATTTACAAATTGACTAATTAACTAATGACTAATTAACTCATTTGTGAGTCACTCTGTGTTACCTTGACTTTGTGAGGAAAACTTCGATGGAAAACAGTGGGCATTGATCTATTGATTGACTGGGGACAATCTTTAACAGCAAAACTATATCAAAACATTGATTTACAAACTGTCACACAACTTGTGCATTATCATTGCGCATTATACATTAGAATAAAACACTGGCAAAAACAATACAATGGATTGTGGGTGTTTTGATATAGTTTTGCTGTTGTTAAAGGTGGTCCCCAGTGGTGTAATGGAATGTATACGCAGACAAAATTACTGCATGGTATTAAATCACAAGATCAAATCATGAGTGAACAAATAGGCCTAACATTTTGTCTTCATTTATTCATGCAATCTTGATGGCTATTTTAATCATATCTTGGTTAAATTGTGTGTTGAACTGAAATAGTGTAAAAAGTAAATGGTTGTCAACTCTCAGTTTTCCAGTCACACCCAATATATGTAATTCCAATTCTGTTTAGGGACAACTGTATGTAGAAATATTTAAATAATATGATACCTGTGTCTTCACTGCAGCTTTAAAACTGAGCCAAATACAGCAGGTTTTATTTGCTAAAATTGAGTCTGCCTCACTTCTCACTCTAAGCACTGCCTGTCATACCTGCTGCTTCTTTACTTTTTTTGTCAGACATTTGACCATCACCTCTTTGCTCCTTTCATTTTCCTGTTTTCTCTGTACGTTGACTTTTCCTTTGGTGGTCCCTGGTTGTTGCTGAGAAATTCTGACTTCACTAGTCAGGCTGCAGTCCACCTCACATGTTTACATTAAATGCACTTGTGATGTCAGATGGACATATACATATACATACATACATATAAATATTATTGTCAGTGATTTAAGTCAGTAAGTAAATTGTTGTACTCGAGCAAATTTATAGATCAACCATAGACCTGTTCATGCCCCTCCCCCGTTGGCCTTGGATCGAGGTCACTTGTATCCTTTAACCCCCCTGTCGGCAGGCCTATGGTGAAGTGTTCCTATTACAGTAGAGGGGTTAAAATGTTAAAGGTGTCCAGAGGGTGGCGCTAAAAGAAAAGTCCTAAAGTCCTAAAAAGTCCTTAAATCGAAACCACAGAGGACCATGAGCTTATCTACTTAGAATGAAATAGCACCCTCAGTTTTAAATAAAACTAGCACACATATTCAATAATAATTACATAACTCTATTGGCGGTATGTAATAGCTTGAAAGATTTTATTAGTTTGTTTTTTGTTTTTTTTCATAGACACATACTTGAGAAATAATAATCAGGATTCAATTCATCACTGATGATATTATATTGTCAACAACATATTGAAATCTGTTCAGCTTACCACAGAGATCCATTATGACATCGGAACTCAGGTAGAAAACTAAACCTCCTATCATGCATTTTATCTCTTGTCCTGTTGTGTTCTTCATGTGTGCTGTGCCATGCAGAACCATTCTGTGTCAGACAGACACACACACAGCACTGTTTGGCTAATTGGAGCATGGCCTGTTTACTTTCACACCAGTGACTTTCACCATGGGAGAGATGAGATGGGGAGAAGATGGAGGAGGGGATGATGAGGGAAGAGGAAGAAATGTGGGGGGATCCGGGGCACTCCGGCTCACAACCCCCCACTCCCTACTCCTTTTGTTTGATTGGAGGATAGCTTTTAGAGAATAACAAAACGAAAGAAAACATAAAAGAATAAGTCACTCGCCATACTTTGTGTTTCTATATAGTATTGTTTCATAAGAAGAATTAGGTCAATATTTCTTAAGTACATGTATAAAGAATCTAAATTTAAACATTCTATTCTAAAAATGTATTCATCAATTTGCATTTCAAAGGCCTCTTAGTGTTAAGACCAGCTAGGGACCCTGTAACTGAAAGATTAATAACAATGTAGGTTTAACCCTACCATATTTTACCTTGTTTTGTGTGACAGGCTGATAACTGTGTTCCTGTGTGCAGTATGTGTGACTGCAGCATCCATCTGCTGCTCTGCTTCCTCTCTGTTTCTTCTCTGCATGTCTATGCTTACCTGATTATTTCTTTCTTTCTCTCTGCCCCCTTTCATACCCCCCTCCTTCCTTGCTTAGTCTCTCCTCATCTCTCTTACCCCTCTATCCAATTCTCTAAACGCCCCCCCCCCCCTCTTTTTTCCCAATTACTTGTCTCTCCATTCCCCTGTGTCTTTCCTGTATAGCTCTGACTGCCCTAGATATCCATACATACAGTACATTTCAGCAGAAAGCATGCTTACTGCGTGGGCTGGATTCCCCATATTTCCCTGCCTCCCTCTCTTCCTCCCTCCATCCTTCTCTCTGTCATTATCTCTCCTTGTGCTTCTCCTCATATCAGTCACACTGCTTCACTCTCAGGTCTCCTGGATGCAGACTGGGAGCAGCAGGCCAGGGATGGAGGAGCAGAGAGAGAGGGGGGAGGAGGCACTGGAGAGAAAGGAGGAAGAGGAAGGTGTGGCCTCCCTCAGTTGCCGACAGCAACCCCCTTGTCAGTCAGGTTTTCAAGCCCCTCCCCTTCCCCGTCCCCCTCCCCCCCAGGACTGAGGGGGAGGAGGCGGAGGGAGGGGGAGGTGGCAGCAGTGGATGCTGCAGCAGCAATACCAGGAGCGAGAGGAGCATCGTTCATTCCTCCTCCCAGTCTCCCCCTCCTTTCCTCCATCTCCGCTCGAGCTCCAGAGGAGGAGGCTGCCGGCCGCGGAGGCTCACCCAGACGACAGGCTCCCTTCCCCGGCTGCGGCCCCAGCCTAGGCCCCCTCCCCGGCTCTGGATCCCCCGCTTCTCCCATGGAGCCTCTACCCACCCAGGGACAGACTCTAAGGCATTACACCGCCTCCCGACCACGGCCGCGACGCACACATACACAGCCCCCCTCCTCCAGGCCTCAGGTAAGAACACACATACATACCCATAAACACAAACCAATGACTTTACACACACACAAACACACAACATGAGTGAGCTTGTAGAAATTACACAGCATTTGCATTTATACAGACACACAGTAATACATAGAAAATATGCTTTACACAGGCATATATGCTCAGATAGAGAGCAGGATGAAAGGAGAGATGGATGAAGGATAGAGGGAAGGGTAGATGAAGTAGGAAGCTAATTGTGCGACTACAGAGGGATCCCAGAGGAGAAACGATGGAAATGGAGGAAATTGAAACAACACGATAGAAAAAAGCGAGTACAGAATGTAAAGTATAGAGAGGAGGAGAGGGGAGGAATGGAGGGATGCAGGGTGTACTGCTCATATGATTGGAATCCTTGGGTTAATGCAGCAAAACACACATTACATCTGTCTATCTATCTATCTATCTATCTATCTATCTATCTATCTATCTATCTATCCTCTCCCTCTTTCCTTTGCTGTCTTGCTTTCATTTTTATGATGCTGTAGTAATAATGGTAGCCATCTTTATCTATGCATTCTCTTGCTCCATGTAGTCGTGCTCAGCTGTGTGTGTGTGTGTGTGTGTGTGTGTGTGTGTGTGTGTGTGTGTGCGTGCGTGCGTGCGTGTGTGCGTGCGTGCGTGCATACGTGCGTGTGTGAGAATAGGCACATGCATTTTGGGAGTGGTGTTCCCTGGGTTGTTCCCAGTGCCGATTTCTCTCTCTCTCTCTCTCTCTCTCTCTGTGTCTCTCTCTCTGTCTCTCTCTCTCTCTCTCTCTCTCTCCTGGGAATGCTTTCACTAACTCAATTATTCATGTTTTCACATTAATGGGGGTCTCTTACTCTGTGCTGTCACTGTGTAAATGGAAAAGGAGTATTTCTCTTCGTCTGTGGTGACCTTGTGTGTATGTAAATTGTATATGTGATCTCTCTTTTAGTAACTTAGGTGTCAATGTAAGGTGCTGTTGTTTTTCACAAACACAATCACATGCTGCTTTTGCTTCTATAAGAGCCATTATACAGCAGATGATGTAGCCTGCAGTCTGGTTTAGATCGGTCATCCCTGTCAGTGAATGATGAGCAAGTGTGGGCCCTCAGTGATTCAATTTTATTCACGTATCACGACAGAAATACAAGTCATTACTGACGTTGGCTGCCAGCATGATACACCTGGTTATTGTAAAAATGACTTGAAGTGGCTGCAACATGATGGAAGCTTTTTTCGACAGTAGATTAAAAGACAAGAGAAGAGTAGCCTAAATGATTTATTCAGCTAGCATGTCTGGCTACAGGAGCAACTGAGCTGATGTTACAGAGTGAGGACACTAAGTATCTGGTGGTCCAAATACAGGCAGCATCAACAAAGATACTGTTGGAACCTGGTTGGTACACAAGAAAACACAAGATTAGCACTGTAACCATGGCGCAATCTTATGTGGTAATACAGTGTACAAATAGATGAGAGAGTGGCAGCAGAATATTGTGGCACAGATGTCCTCCTGAACATCACCATAAAAAACCACAGGTGGATAACAGCTATGAAAAGGAAGAACTGGACACCGGGGTTCCGACTATCATATTTGCGGTACACATTCAATTTCAGGTAAGTAACATCAGCTAACAAATGAACCAGTCTTCTCTAAAGTGAAAATTGTCTTTATCAGTCAGTGTTGTTACATTTCTTTTTGCACTATTGTCACACCAAAGACTTATCAGTTGCGTGCCTCATGTCTCTGCATTCTTTGCATTTTGCATTTTATCTTTATTTTTTTTCTGTTATTTAAATTTGTAGTTCTCTCCGGACTTCTCAAATCTCAAATTTTCAAAAAATTAAAAAAAACTTTTTAAAGAAGATTATCACTTTTATGAAGGTTATGAATCATTTGTTAGCTGACGTTACTTAATCTGATACAAAATGTGTACCACGATCGTCCGATCCTGATGTGCAGTTCTTCCTTTTCACAGCTGTCATTTACCTGTGTTTCTTGGTGTAACGTTACCAGCCATGTTCAGATAGTAACATCGCTGGCACCCTGCCTATGTAATGCCCACAAGCAACTACGTGAAGTTTCCTTAGAGTGTGGATTGATCACTGTTTTACTACTACACCAGTTGCCCCAATAGAGGAATGAGTCCTAAAACCTCCAAATGACTTTGCATTTCAAAGCGTAGGGTTCCCTCATTTCAAGTCAATGGGTTTTTTGAATGGGTTTTTGGTTATGAGCCTGGAATAAGGTCTGTGGTTAACACAAGCTTGAGGGATTTTCACATTTTGTTCTGCAAAATAAAACAAATGCAAATTATGTGTCAAAAACAGCAGTTGCTAACAAGTGGCTAAATGAGACTTTACAGCCTTGTCATGGTGGTAACATTACGTCATGTGACCGTAGTGTAGTTCCTTTATAGCCTAACATTAGCTTTTTAATTCTGTTGATTGCATTCAGACTTCAGTAATCCTTTTTGAAGAATATCTTGCTGAGTAAACATGTGGGTATCATTAACGTTTGTTTGCCACAGATAATTTTCTGCAATAATCCAAAATCCACTGGAAAAGTCCCATAGGCTTTTTGACGAGGGAACCAGGGCAAAGCTAACTTCTGTGTCCGCCTACAAAAAGCATCATCCCTGGGTACATTTGGCATTGACTTTAATGGAAAGTAACATCTGCTAATTACCTGCCAACTTCATTTTTTGCTTCATGAGAGGAGAGCCTCGCATTAGCCTGTTAGCATGCTGGCGTGATTCAAGAGGATGATGTTGTAAAATTAAAAGTATTGCCATAATGATTTTACCTCCATCAAATATTATATCATAATGAGGCTATGCCTTTTACAGAACATCTGCTCATCTATTTGAAGCCTAGTCTACACATACATGGGTATTTTTAAAAGCAGCGCTTTAAAACTAAATTTACGTCCAGAAGAGCGTTTTGGCACCATTTCAGGAAAAATTCCCGTCCTAATATGCCTGAAGCATATCACATTAAAAAATGACTTTACATGCGCATCCCGTTATAAACGAGGACACTAATGATGAAGCAGAGAAATGTGATTGCTGCTCACAGATAATGCATTTGTCATTGAAACATTTATAACAGCATACGTGTTTGTCTCACTTTTTCCATCATTGCAGTTCAATGTCAGTTTGTGTCTTACATATAAGTTTTCCAGCATCAGTTCTGTCAATGTGCAGACTCCAAATCTGTTGTTGTCACATAGTAGGCACCTGTAGCAGCAGCATATCCACGTTTTATTGCTGTGTGTGTGTGTGTGTGTGTGTGTGTGTGTGTGTGTGTGTGCACGCGCGTGTGTGTGTGCCGTAATTAATTGCAGGTGCATGCGATTACCAATTTAATGTATTGCGCACTGGGATTGGTTTATGTAGCCTATATGAGCTCACGGGTAGCTGCACATATGTGCAACATTGTGACAGAATGGCTGAGAAAGAAAGGCGCAAGAGAGGAGCAACCTTCACGTTCAGGAAGAACTGGAGGTGATGCTGGACGAGGTGGGGCGCAACAGGAGTGTCTTGTTCGGATGCTTTAGCAATGCCAATTCTAACAAGGCAAAGGCTGCTGCATGGGTCAACATTGCCCAAAAAATGGCTCCCTCCAGCTATGGTCCACCCAGACAATGGACAGTGGTCCGGAAGAAGTAGCAAGACTCTGCCAGTTTGGCCAAAAGAGAAGGGGCGGCAGTTTGCCGAGAGGATGCCAAAACCGGTAGTGGACCCAGGACTGCTCCCACCCTCACCCCGGAGGAGGAAAAGGTCCTGTCAATCATTGGCCACACAGCCTCCCAAGGCATCACGGGGGGCATTGATGTCTGTGGTGGAGAGGGACCATTCACCCCCCAGTCCCCAGCTGTGGGGCGATTCACTCCGCAGTTCTCTGGCAAGGGACCAACTCCACCGGCGCGCCCCGACCCCGCCTTGCCACCCCGAAGTTCCTTGTGCTCTGGCTCTCCCCCTGTTCCACATGATCCCTACTTGAGAGGCGTCCGCACAGCCACACGTACAAGAGGTGGGATGTCGAGGACTGCGTCACCTTTGGTTCAGTTGATTGAGCGCAACGATATGCTGTAATGCAGCCATAATCTCGTCTACAATGAAGCAAGCAGAAGTGACGCGCTTGATCGCCTCTATAGCTGGTGCCGCCCACTTGATTACTTTCCAGCCGGCCTTATTAGACTTTGATCAATTGTCAAGTATCTGTCAGATATTCAGTATATAGTGGTAGGGTACAGCCAGTAGCCTCATCAGAAAAAACACATCCTCAGTTAGTTAGCTCCATTAGATAAATGAATGAATAAATGAATAAATAAATAAATAAACCTACATATTCATAATATTCAATATTCATTATTATTTTTCATGAAGTTAATTTTAAACTAATGATGTAATTTGCACAAGGAGTCTAGATGTGAATTATACTGCAACTGTCCATTTAAAAAGCATAATTTTGGCCTAATAAAGCTAAAACTGTGACAGGATGAACAGAGTGCATCACTAAGGGACAGCTTACGAGTGGTTCAGACCGCCCTTCTTAAGATATACCTTTCAGAAGATATATTTAACTAGGGAGACTCTTGGAAACAGCCCGTAAGGTCAAGGGAGACCTTGAGATACAACTTTGGATGCACATAGCGCTACGGAGGGCCCAGATCATTTTACTGTTAAAAATACTGAAATACAGTTAAAAATAGTAAAAATAATGTCACTGGACTATTGATCATGAGCTGCAGAAAATCAGATGAAATCAGATGTATTTAAAACAAGGCAGTAGTGGTTTGCAGACCAGGTAGACTTACAACAAGCTATCAAATCATACCTGCATTCGATCTTTTTTTGCACAACGGATCTGAACCCCGGTCCATCCCACTCCTTGCCAGATTAGCAAACTTTCTGTTGCTGCCGATTCTGGAGCCAGTGTTCCCCCAGCAAGCTGTCAATTCAATGTCTTCCTGGTTAGCACAAGCTAACACAGCAGCA